AAATAATCCTAAAACTAAATACTACTCACTCATTTATAGTTTTAAATTTTACATAGAACTTTATATTCAGTAAATGTTTTCGATTTCCAAAAAAAATAAGTATACAGATAGATTTAAGAATAACTTATACCAATAATGACTTTTGCAAGCAGTAATTATTTGAGATATGCACTCGATTTTTCTAAATGGGTCAAGTAGTGGGTAGAAACTTCCCATCTGTTAACTGACACGTGACTTTTATATTCTCTGTTATTCTAATATCGAAATTGTATTAGAGGGTAAATAGTTAACACAATGCAATACATATTTATCTACAGAGATGAGTGAATCTGCATTAATTGAGGTTGTCGGTTTACGATGACAGTAATAAAACGTACGAACTCAAAGTCTAAAGTCATTTAAAACAGACAGTTGAATATTTTACTGAATTTATAAGTACATACGCATATGTATTTACGTTATTACGCGTATTTACGTTTATGACTATGTTTCCACTAAAATGAAGAAAGATGTTTACAGAGGAGTGTATAAAAATATATTATTCAATGGAAAATATTGTCATACATCCTGTAGGGCGCCTGAGTCCGGCCGTCAGGGTGGTTTTATTGGAAATATATCAAAGATCCAGAGATCCGAAAGAATTTTCCACCCCGTCACCAAAAAAAAAGAAAAAGACTTCACAATTATTCATGAAATCGACACAAAGAACACCCAGACTCAAAACAACAATTTGTGGATCATACATGGTGATGTCTCATGTAGGGATGGAATCCACGGCACTCAACGCAGTAGAAAGAGATGAGGCGACCGTTTAAACCACTACGTCGTCCGGCAAGTCATTTTTGCTAATTATTTGCAGGGAAACGCACTTACTTAAATATATTGAAACTGCAAACATAAAGATATTCTACGCCGCTTAAAATTATGCGGTGCGCCCGGAAGTACCACATTCAACAGTTCATGAAAAAAATCCACAAAGTTGCAAAAGTTAATAATAATTTAAAAACACCTTTCTTCTGCCATAACGGAAATATGAGAAAAAAATAGCCGAACTGGTCAATTGGTGATTTATATTTATATTCATTTTCTGTTTTTTTTTAACGTTACATTGAAAAGTTAAATGTAGACATAAAAAGAAGACAGTCAAAAACTATTTGCATCTAATCGTTTACGCAGAGACGTTTAAGTTTAATTTTATATTTTATCATCTTAGATAGCAATTTAGTTAGGTTGAAAATTTACGACGACGAACTTTGAACTGTAACGAGACGCGCTAAATACTCGGAATAAAATAAATGTGTCTGTCGATAACACTTCCTACTCAAAACAAGCTTACGCGAAACGAGAACAAAGTTGTATAAACAAGATAACCTATGAATTATTTACTTTCACTAATATGTATCACAAATAAATTTCTGATACTGATTCTGAATATTTTACTTAAAACATAAACTCACCTATTTCGTGTCTGTCTTTATACCTAAGTGCATAATTGTGCGCATCGAAATAACTGTTTTATGAAACAGCCATTTTTTCTAATCTCTACACACTAGAACAAAAAAGAAGTAAATTTTCCACTTTCCACTATTGACGTACTCATATAAAACTCATTCACAGTCACCCTTTTTTTTTTTTTTTTAACGTGTGGAAATCCCCTCGGACCGTCACCCCACCGGGGTTTGCGGCGGGGTGGTGTGTCGGACTCGGACCGACTAAAACCACACGGTGTGCCACTCTGCGCCTGTAACAGGAGGGATCCGGGAACAGCTGTTATTAACACATCCGGACCCCTCCTAGCGCCAGCCCGCTCCTGGTGCGGGCTCCATCTCGTGGCCCAGCGTGGAGGGGAAACCCACCCCGTCCACCCGCGGCTACACTCAGGGCGGCATGAGGCGGTGATAGGCGCGCCTCCGCCGCCCGGTTCGCCGGCAGCGGATCGGGTCCGAGTGGAGGTCGTCCTCCCAGGCCTTCTCCGCCGCCTCCTTCTGCGAGATTACTTCCTCGCAGAAGGTTGCGACCGCGGTAAAACATTTGTCGCTACCGGCCATGGAGCGTACTACGGCCGGTAGCGAGAGATCCACTCCGATGACTGCAGTGAGGGCCCGGCGCTGCGTCGCCCATGCGGGGCAGACCGCCAGCGTGTGCTGGGCCGAGTCCTCACTGCAGTCACAGTGGTGGCAGGCGGGACTCAGTTCCCTCCTAGCGACCGAGTGCAGGTACTTTCCGAAGCAACCGTGCCCGGAAAGCACCTGCGTCAGCCGGAAGGTAAGGGTCCCGTGCTGCCGCCCTGCCCACTCGGCGATGACCGGCTGGAGAGCCCGGGAGTCAGCCACTCGCCGATAAACTTCGGCGAGCACTTCCGCCTCCAAATCCCACGGGGGAGTTCCGGCCAACGCGCACGCCACCTCCGTCGACACGGTGCGGTAACCGCGTATGGCTCTGACCGCCATTACCCTCTGAGGGCGCCAGAGGCGTGCCCTATTCTGGGCGGTCAGAGCCGCCGCCCACACCGGTGCACCGTATAGTGCCATTGACCGGACAACCCCCGTGTACAGCCGTCTTGTCGCGACAATGGGTCCACCCAAATTGGGCAAAAAACGCCCTAGGGCCAGCTTTGGAGCAAGCTGTCGGAAGTGCTCGTCGAAGAGCCACCTCCCGTCGAGGATCAGGCCCAGATATTTCATCTGGGCCCGAACCGGTATGAGGACCGAGTTGACCACGATTGATTCGCCAGGGGGTGGACCACGACGGGGCCCATGAAATAACAGGGCCTGCGTCTTATCTAGGGCCACCCGTAAGCCCAGCGCCTCAATGCGCCCGACCACCAGGGAGACTCCCCTTGTGGCCAGGCGCGCCGCCTCTTGGAAGTTCGCCCCCTGGGCTGTCACCAGAGTGTCATCTGCGTAACAAATTACACCCAGCCCGGGGGGGAAATCGGCTCGAAGGGCCCAGTCGTACCCTATGTTCCACAAGAGGGGTCCAAGAACAGACCCCTGTGGAACACCACACGACATGGGCTGACACCTTAAATTACCCTCTCCGTCCTCGTACACGACGGTACGCTCCTCTAAATAATTCACAGTCACCCTCTACCAACCTACACACACATGCACACACACGCAAAGACACTATTGAGATTTATTAATCCGACTAAATTTGTGGAGTTCAAATATAAAAGCTAGAAATTATATACACGTAATTTACATGATTTGAATCTATCGCTCATTAAACTGTAAACTAATTTCCATATATCTCGCCATAACACCCAGAGACTTTATTTACACACTGAAACTTACCTCCAATGAATAGCGCTTGAAGCTACAATTGTATGTATGTATATGTGTAAATTTATTACCAAAGTTAATTTAGTAGAAAGAAAATTGTTAAACAACCTATAAATGCTGAAAGCGATATGAAATTTTGGATTTGTAAATATATTAATAAATATTACATTCGTTTTAAAAAAGTTAAAATGAGACGTTGCGAGTGTTATCGTTAACGCTAAATTAAAACTATATTTTTAAACGTCTTTTACCATTTCGATGAATTTACTGATGAAAGAGGGAAATAAGCATATTTATATTTGCTCTGTCTCTTCGCGTATCTTATCAAATTAAAAACTTAGAAAATTACATTCAATATTTCCATATGTCAAATGCATTATCACAATAGATTACAAGAAAACCGTATACTCATTCTACTGTAAAAATACAGTAATAAACGTTTCAGTAACTTCACACAGACATACTGTTAGGTTACTGACATTTTGTGTGGATGGCACATTGCAATCTCGCTCGGAGAACAGTCCAATTCAAGCTTTGATATGAGGTTGTGTGACGTTACCGTAAACAAGATTGCAAAAGTTGATTGGGAACAGTGATATTTTGGTCGAAAATACCATTTGTGTTTCCATTATCATGTCGGCCTAAGTTTAGATTTGTGTGAAAAGTATTTGATTAAAAATATAAATATTTGCCAAAGCTATGGTCGTTGCATGTACTGTGTCTCTTATCACAACCTAAATGAGGATCATTTGAAAATATATTGTTAAAAAAATGTATACTTGTTTTGCGTCACTACAAGCAAGTGTCAGAATTTCGTTATATGCGTCGAGTAAATCACTTCGGGTTTGCTATCACCGACATATACATTTATATATTTATTTCTGTATTATACCATGATTCCAAAAAAAATCATCTTTTAATCGCATCACTTTTCTAAGATCCTCATACTAGTACAAAGCAAGACAACAAGCCCTTGAAATACATTGTCATAACGTAATAAGACTTAATGCATTGATAAAAGGTGACAACATTTCACCAGATCTAAAAGAGTTAAAGTCTTCTTAACCTCTTGACAAAATATGGCGAAATTAGCAAGAACTTAACGGAGATAATCAAACCGGCTGGTAACACATTTTTATGTTGAAAAAAATAAATCCTTTTACAAAAAAAGTTGAATCACCTTCAAACAATACTGACAAAGAACACTAAAAATTTAAAAATAAATATAAATCTGAGTAAAAAACTACAATAAGTACCAGCAATATGAAAGGCAACATTATAATAGCAATAGCCCTTCTAGTCTGTTTGAAGTTACAAAAATTACTTTCGATTACGAAAATAAGTTTTCAAATATAAAAAGCATTTTCCAATTCGATTTACAAATGAAAGGGTTTTGAGGTAACAAACATGAAAATAATACGTTTTTTTGGCAAAATATTTTTTACACATATCTCTTGTGCACATATCTCTGTAACTCTACACAAACACTTAAATGTTTGTGTAGTTTTAGTGATAAAAACTTTATCACTAAAACTTGAAATACAAACGTTAATTTCATTTAGATTGTAAGATTCTCAAAATGTAACCCAAGTTATGATGCAAATATTACCTGAAAATTACCAGCAATTTATTATTTTACTTGAATTTACAATTTGCTTTTATCAAATTTTGTACCTACCTATATTTTCTAATTTTTTATACTATTTTTTTTTGCAGAATGTACAAATTATTTGGCGCAGCCTGCCATGGAGAACGGCCGCCCAGTTGATTTTGCATATGAAGTAAATATAGCCAGTAAGTATAATTTAGTGTGATTCATCATGAGCTGATTGCCATCCACTGGTTAGCGAAGGGTAGGTCTTGGGTAGCCGTGCCGCAGGGCGACCTACTACTACTACTACTACTACTACTATGTTTGCCTAATCTAGCACGTGTCGGCTCCAGCGATCATCAGTTCGCTTGGAGACATGACTAGTCTACTTCAACTTCAGCGTACTGATTCTCCGTGCGACGTCGATTACTCTAGTTCTCCACCGAGTAGTTTCGTTGCGAATGTTATCGAGTAGAGAAACACCCAGCATAGCACGCTCTATCGCACGCTGATCGACTTTAAACTTGTGGACCCGTCAAACGGTTAGTCCACAAGTTTACACCCCCACGTCTCGGCCTCATATATCATTATAGGTAGGATGCACTGGTTAAAAGCCTTAGTTCGCTTGGTCCATATGCCACCCGGCCCTGACAAATTTTTCATCGGCGTCCCGATCGAATGTTTTGCCGCCCGAGTTGGATAGTTTGGCCAAGATAGAATTATTCTTGCACAACCTCGGTAGTAGTGCAGTTTACGTACAGTATACTTGGTATACTTACTTAATCAAATTAAATTTAATAAATAGAGCTTTAAAATATGTTCTGGTCTTGCCGAACTTATTGCATTGAAAGACAAAAAGGAAATACAAGTACAAGATAAAAAGTAATGTATTTTTTACCATAATAATAGTCACTTTACATGTTTAGCAGGGTAAGCAAATTCAAAGTACAGCTCAGATCAATTGATGCATGTTTCTATTATAATTTTATAATCTTACATAGACTGTCTAAAAATCGATCGAAAAACGTTTAAATATCCAGTAGGGAAAGGGAGGTAGGAAAAAAACTATTATGATAAACATAATTGTGTGTGATTAAAATGATTAAATAATTGTAATGTAATATTTTTTAATAAAATGAAAAAATATATTTATTGTTACAAAATTGTATATAGTACTACATTGAAAATGTAGTAATGTAAAATATAATAATATTTTAGATCACTACATTTTAAATGTTTCTTTGTTCAAGACTAGTGAAAAGTTTTGAATTTGCCTGTTTTGTATTTAAGTCATTTCTGAAAATTTTGAACTGTAATTCGGATTTACCTTGTTTTCCAGAAAGCTTGAAGTAGGTTTCTATATCATTCGATGATAGTCACTAATATTAACAAACTGAAGGCAATACAAAAACTAAATTATCAGTTTAAAGAGTTGAAGATTTCGAACACTTTCTTAAATTATAACCAAAATATTATTTAGATATACTTTTATTTTAATCCAGACTATGTCCGAACAATGATATCGTTCGGCATCATCAGCTTATTCGTCATGGCAATGGGCTGTGGATTTTCAACTTACACCTTCGTCAACCCCAGATATATGTTCAAACGGCTTGCTGCCGGCATACACTTCATAAGCAGTGAGTATTTTAAATAATATTATAAATGTACTAATAATATTGTTTTATTTTTAAAGACTACTCCCGCATTAGAACCATATTCCTGTGCCCCGGGGGACTTTACAAACATACATGAAACGGGCACAAAGAACACCCAGACTCAGAACTCAGAATAATTTGTGGATCACACAAAGTGTTGTCCCATGTGGGAATCGAACCCACAATACCCAACGCAATAATAAGCGGCGTGGTGACCGCTTAAACCACTTCGCCATCCGTTCAGGCATTCTACATATTATAACTACTGAACCGAGAATCGAAGGATTTTTATTTTACTTATACATTTTCCAGAAAGGAACTTTTTACACAGAAAAGTTGGAAAGTCCCGTTCCTTAGTACGCGATTAACGCGAGCGCTAATTTCTTGATATAAAAAATATGATTTTGTTTCCAGCATCATGTACATTTGTAGTGGTACAAGTAATGATGTCGTCTGTTGATCACATGAAAAAGAATGTAAAGTTTGTCTACCCGGAACGTGCCTATCATTAGTGAGTAACATTTTATTCTAGTTCTGCTCAAGATAATGTGTTTGTTTTAACTGCTATTGTCTCTGGTTCGACTAAGAATTATATGTTGGGTATAATTAATATTTTACTAAAAATAATAAACGTAGGTGAGTGAGGCACCTATGTAAGAATCTTCTTGATTAGCAATGAAATTATTCTGTAAATACAACATATCTATACTATTATTATAAATGCGAAAGTGTCTCTGTCTGTCTGTAACGCATTCACGGGTTAACCACTAAATCGATTTTATTCAAATTTGAGATGGAGATACTTTGATTCTTGAAGAAGGCACCCCTCCCCCCCCCCCCCCCCCCCCCCCCGCCTCCCGTGTGAGTCACGGACAAAAACTATGAAGTAAATAAAGTTGAAATAAAATAATTACTATTTCAAGTTTCGTTGGTAACAATTATTTTGAACCGTAATTTGAATTCTTTACAAAGATCGTAAAGTTAAGGAACTTTACGATCTTTGTAATGAAATTACTTCAGCTGCAAGCCCTTAGATTGAACGTCGCACAACCATACAAATACATTAAAGTACTTGCTTAACACACATTCACACATGTGCATGTGTGTTTATGATCCGAGAAATAGAATTTATAGTGTGTTTATATATTTTAGTACTACTTCTGAGGCTTAATTATTAATTTTGTTCTCCGCAGCTTTGGTATCAGTTTCTTCTTAGCCTGGTTCGTCGTCCTTGTCAACTTCTTCGCGGCTGCATCCTTTCTTTGGTATTCTCGAAAAAGGAAAGGCGATAAGGCAGCCACTGATGAACTGGCCATGGCTGATGAACCGACGATAATCGGCCGATGACGCTTCAATCGGTATATCTTCATGTGGTGTCTTCAGCCACGGGAAAGCTTTTTCAAATCTTTACTGAACAATGCTCAAATGACCAATAGCTGTAACTTATTGAAGTCTTCCATGATATATATTCGACAAATATAAGACTTAGTGATGCGGCCTAAACAATGTTTACCAAAGCAACACTGTTGATTGAATAAAAATGTAATTGAAACAGTTGACATTACCAGTTTCTGTTGAAAGTGCCAAGGACTAGATGATTCAATGAGAAAGAAGTAAAGAAGCATTAAACTTACTGAAGTCTTTGTGTCTATGTAAAACTTTTTGCAACTGTCAAAAATAATGCATCTGGTCCGGTTTGTGTTTTGGTTTAGCATCACGCCTAAGATACCAAAACAATGAATGTTTAACACGTGGATAGGAATCATAGTAGATTACAAGATGAAGTGAATGATATTTGACTTACTCATAAGAAGCCGAGCCGAAGTCGCATCACATTCATATTATTATATTTCGCCAGTTTCAGCTTCTAGACAATTGACCTTGACCTTGACTTTAATTACTCCCTGGATGTAAATCGTGACGTTTATATTATTACGCCCAGTAAATCTTTTAAGCAACGGTAAATATTTTTATTGCGACATTTTTTATTACTGGCTTGCAGTATAATTTATGTGAAACATGTATTCGAACAATATTTATTCTCGCATCTCGCCTTCGAGGCTTCGACTTATTAGGATAACGAAGTTGACATGCACCTGCATTGTTAGATTGTAAGCTATAACTATGCTGCCATAAGACTTGATATGTCTAACTTATTCTAGTCATATTTATATTTAAAATGTTTGTAAGGATTGATTCCGTAAATACTTCAAAGAGTTTATTAGTGGAATTCATGTAGCTCGTAACGAGGTAATTTGGGTAGTGTAACCCTTTCTTTTCAAAGACTAAATTAAGTCGGGACCAACAGGGCACTTAAATGTTTTATGTCTAAACATCTGGGACTTATTTTAGGTACTTATAGAAGCGGGGAAGTTAAAAATACACTAAAGAAAAGTTATTGTGAGTTATGTATAACAGTTACGGAATTATCCTGAAGAGTGGTATTGTTTATTCCATTGTATTTGCATTATCGTGTGTATTGATGTTATGTACGTTCTTCTGGTATGTAATTCTTTTTAATAAATTAATTCTATAAACTAATTATTGTTGCTTTATTTTGGAAATGGTTCTAAAAAATATATTTCTACATTCTGCAGCGTTTCGGCAATATAAATAAACAAAAATAAAAAAGTGAAAATTATGAAAAAGTGACAAATTGTTATCACCCTATAACCAAGAGTTTCATGAATTTAATTTTCAAAATACTGACATTAGCGGAATCTCTGTGTTGATTCCACACGAGAGATGAGACTATAAACAACTAATACGAATATTAATTAATATAGTTAAAGGCAATGACTTTGCAGTCTTATCTTCTCTATACAAAGTGTCTAACATTTTACAACAGAAAAAATGTCGTTTAAACTTTCGACGGTAGCTATTTTCGGTAGAGCATTGTCGAAAGTCTGGCACAGGCCCAGAGTTGAGTTGTGATATTGCCAACGTCAACAGAGGTCAGTGTCCTAAAAAAAACTGATGAGGAAAAGGCCAGTGGTTCTAATGGCCTGGTATTGGCTTCCAAAGATGTTTTTCCCGTATTGTATTAGGTGTATGACGCAACAGGTATGTGTTAAAATTTGAAGGCGACTTAGCAGTATGATACTCCTTTGCAATCAAGACTCTAATTGATTGTTATTATAAATAATATTAGTCCATTACAACTTTTTGATAAATTTAAATTTTCAACATGTTTTAATTTTGAAAGTTAAATAGACATGTCATGATAAAAATGCCAACTATCCGTTGTACCATTTAGAATGATTGATAATTCTGAGATTTGTTTAATGGTAATCCCTATTAATATTTTAAATTTAATAGTAGCTCTGTCTGTCCGTTTCACGGCTTAACCACTGCACCACTGTTCCTAAAAGTCCGCATGGAGATACTTGGATACTGTAGGAAGGACCTAGGCTTTTACATACCGCGATAAAAGACACACACGTGGGCGGAGCAACTAAAAACTAGTAAAATATATAAAAGAAAAACAACCCGGTAGATTGAGTAATTAAATTACTGTTTTAAAATGCACCCGGCATTTGAAAATTAGGGTTTGCCAATCAAGCGACCGTACCTTGAACCCTAAGTTGGATTCCCGATATTTACGACAAAAAAAATATGTATTTTTAAAATTTTAAATTATTCTTCTATATTCAATCCAACAAGCTAGCTGTAATAGTGGTACGTAAAAAATAAGAATATATTATAGTAATAGTTTTTATTGTGTAAGGGAGAAAACAAGCAGACGGGTTACCTGATTGTAAATGACTAAAGCCGCCAATTAATATCGGCAACTCAAGAGTCAGAACTGAATTGCTGATTAGATGTAGAACAAGCCAGTTACAGGGAAATCCTTGGTGCAACATTGTATGAAGAGTGTCGTTTGAATGTCTGCTTAGTCACTCTAGTTTAGCAAGGACGGAGCCGACGCCGAAGTAAGAAGTGTTAGTTTTTCGCTATTTTATGTATTTTACATACTACATACTATTTGCACGACAAATAAGCACTCGACGTGAACAAATAATACAAAAACAACTCCCAAATGCTAACGTTTGCTAATTTCATAACTAAGAGTGCTTTAAGTTTGAGAAGCTTTGACGAGCCTGTTGGTCTAGTGGTTAGTGAGTGCTAAGCCGCAGGTCGTGGGTTCGATTCAAACACAAAGGACAAACATTGCGTGATAAGCACAATCATTTGTTCTGTGTCAGGGTGTAATTTATCTATAATATGTAATGCCTCGAGAGAGGCCTGTGAGAGGCTCGAATCTTTTTTTTTCTATTATTTAAATAAAAATCAGTTATTAGCATAACTTTATATACAAAATATACTTAACAAAAGACAATGAGTACCCAAGAATAGATTTAAACAATACCAATAAATAACGAAGTACATTTCACAGAGCGTTAGCCTCAAAATAACTTTTGGGAGTAATGTAAGAAAAGAAAATAAAAAGTCCAAGAAATATATATACATTGCGATATTATTATGTAAATGTCAATAATTTACGTTTAGACATTTTTTAAATATTGTTCAAAGAGTTATTAAAATGATCAATACATTGGAAGTCTTTGTTATACATATAAAGTGAGCTTATTATGAAGGATCAAAGTATATTAGGTAAAATACATATCTCTCTACCCTTTTGACGACATGCAGGATAGTAAAAAATATATTGTTACACTTACATCAGGACAGAAAATACAGGAGCATACTTTCTCTCTTTGTCTTTATCATAATATGTAACATATTATTGGGTAAACATTTTCTTATCCAGTTTTTATACGAAAACTCTTTTCTAAAGATGCGCTACAAATGTAGATGGCATGTAAACTTCTATTTTGTTTCTACATTGTCAAAATGACAATACTTCTACAAACAATTTTGCATTCAAGCTCGCTGACGGGGAGAGAGAGTAAAAACTATACTGCTGAGTATCAAAACTTAAAACTAAGAAACAAGTACGATAAAATTCCAATAGTAAAACAGGCTCCTCATGCGCTTTCATTTGATCATACGATATGTCTGAATCTAAGGTAATTCTTTACTTATTTATGTAAGAAAATTAATATGCCTTAAGTAGAATTCGGTCCATGGGATTTTGACCGATGGACTAAAGCAATGGACTAAGGGTGGCCTCGAGGCAGACCACCTGCCTGGTCAGACAAAATTGTAAGGGCAGAAGAAGAGCAATGGATCTGGCTGGAACAAAACCGCCAGGAGTGGTGTGATAGAAAAGAGGCCTTCACCCAGTGGGTGTAGATGGATAGAATTTTGTGTGACCAATTTCCTTGATTTTGATTTTTAAACGCTCTAATTAAATTAGTTCAGATTATTACAATTCTAAAAACTACAATATTTAAGAGTTATACATTATAGAGTGCAATAAGTACCTACCTATTTACAAAATAAGACTATAGTACTAATTAGGCTGGTCATTAATCTTAATCACTTATCCAGAGGATACTACAATGAGTATATCCAACAATGTTTTAGAAGTCGTTCCTGCATAGCTATTAACCTTCCCTATGAAGTGTCATGACTTAATACGAGTCTCTTTAATAAAAGTTGGTGGTCCCGAATGGTCAGTAAATATGAAATCTCACAGCTCTAGATGCGAGCGAATTGAAGAGTGACCAGGAAAATTAATCGTCATCATCATGAACCTATCGTAGACCACTGCTAGACATAGGCCTCTCTATTTGCACGCCACTTAGATTGATCCTAAAAACAAATAATTTTAACGTACCCAAATTCGTCGCAAATCATTAAAAGTGTCGCAATGTGATTAAAGTTCGAGCTTAATGTATATTTTTTATGTTTTCAGTTTCATTGATCACTATTCCCTAGTGTATAGCTAGCCATTCTGTAACATATTTATACATGTAGCGCGTGTATTTTATTTTAGCCGTTTTTGCGTAATTTTTACATTTGTAACACAATACATGATGTCACCAGCCTTTAATGGTCCACTGCTGGCTTCTCTGTAGGCCGAGGGGATTTCCGCACGGAAAAAAAAGGGAGTTTATGGCCTACTATACCATGCTGGCCACAATACTTATAAGTTGAAATTGCACTTTATATATATATATATATATATATATATATATATATATATATATATATATATATATATATATATATATATATATATATATATATATATATATATACATAAAAGTAATTCCACGTCCGAGAAAGTTACTTAAGATTCTTTCAAAGAAGTACTTTCATTTATATAGATAATACCGTCGTATCTAATAGTACTGATAGTTGCATACAGAACAAGGAGCCAAACCACCAATATGGGAATTATTACCTCGTAACTACACAATAAAATATTTAGTTTTATACTACACCTATTATTGTAAGACAACATCGTGAGTAATCGCGCTCAATCGCATTCAGCTGGCACGATACGGTTGCGACTACACTGTACCTACTACTTACAAAGTAAAATGGAGCGCAATAAAGAGCTATTTATTTAGTTAAGAGGCGTTGAAGATATACAGATAAATGCAAAACTATCATAGAAAAGTAACTCTTGCCAAAAGTAAAGTCACTTGCTGATTCGAATACCTTCAGCGTGGATTGGGCCAACAACGATGTGAGACATACCTAATGACTCTTTTGCACGCGTAGTTATTTAAGAACAAAACATTTCCTAAGTGTCATTTCCCTGCCAAGACACAACGGTTTCTATACACAAACATATTCTGGTCGTACCTAGACTAAATGCCAAAAATATCATGGTTCTTTAACATGTTTTATATATAGGGTTATTTTACCGAACTGTCTAGATGATTACTTAACTATTTTCAAATCAAAGAGATACAAGCAATCAGATGAATATAGTATAATTAAGTACATTATATTGTTTATCAGTCAAAACAAGGGCAATACACATCCAATAAGTGCAGCGCCACAAATTCAAAGATGTCATTTTGCTCCTATAGGAGCTCGCTCTCATTTTGTTTTTGAGGCACCGCTCTTTTTTTATGACTTTACCCTAAAGCCCATCGCAAAAAAAAAGTCGAGACATGGGCGAGGCTTGACTCTTTTATTTTTTCATTTCATGTCGTGTGCATGTGAATATAAAGGCAATTCTACAACCAAAGTTGAATTAAATGAAATTGTATTATCACATTCTTTTATTTATGAACAAACATGGTCTTGAAAATATGCATGTATAAAAAAGTTATCACATACCAAGAAATTAAAATTTCATATCCTTGAGGAATCACTTTAGAGACTCGGACAGTGTATGGGACTTTTAAGAAATGTAAAGAGAAGCTCATAAATAAAGAATTAACCTCATTCTTAGTTTTAGACTAAATATACTACTTAGTTTATACTGTATTTTTTAACTTTATCACTTTTAATGTTAGTACGAACATCTCTTCTCGTAGGATTGGAGACAGTTTATGCAAGGAATCAAAGACGAAGCTGCTAAAGTAAAAAAAAAACGATAATGCGGCTTAACCCACTAACTATTAACAACTTTTTCGTACCTGTGTTAAAAACAATAACTTTGTCACTTGACAATAAATATGAATGAAATATAAAACTTATAAATAATACTTTATATTTTTAGAAACCTGACACGGAAAAGACGAAAGAGAAATCTGACAAAGACGAGTCTAGCGGATCAAGTGGTATGAGGAAGACATTTAAACTTCATTTTATTTTACCATAAAGTAATTTAAAGAGGTAGTAGTTTATCTTAATTTTCTGTTTACGTCGAAAACCCATAGTTTGGATGTGCACGGAATAGCGTTGAAATCGAGAAAAACTAATCATAACTGGTAATCATAACGCTGAAATATGAGAAAGTTCTCTCTCAAATTTATTTTATTCATATATTAGGCAATATCGAAATTTATAAGTCAATATACATATACGGGGTCAAACTGTCATCGAATATAATATATGAGTGTAAGGATCACCGAACTATTACCTCACTAAATGCATTTTAAAGCCTGTTGCAAAGAATCTCTTAGTGTTGCCACTTAAAACTTATTAATTTCCCAGCAAGGGAAATTGATAAATAAAACCAAAATTTTAGTTTAAGAAAAAGAAAACTCTGTTTTGAGATGTTAGGTACAATCCCGACTTTACAAATTAGCCGATTTTTCAGCAAGGTGATGCTGAAAGTATTTTCACCGGTTAAAAACGCGATGCAAGTATAAGTCATAGTAAAAAGTAGCAAAAATCATATACTTACCAAAATATTTTATAAGGCTTACAGGGTTCAATATATCTCGTGAACCCAGAGAATTGAACTGATCCTTTTTTCTTACTAGCGTATACGAGTATCAGTATCAATGATAGAGCATTACTACAGACACTAGACTCATAATTATGAAAAATTCAGTTCAAATTACTTGGAATTGTAGTAAAATTCATATTACGTTCCAAAAGTTTCAAGGGTATAATATTATAGTTCTCAAAACTTTTTATTATAAATGCATCCTATTTCAACTTTGAACCAAAAACATTTTTTTTTTTTAAATGACTGATTAAACTTTTAACTGAGTGCTTCTTTTCGTTAATAAATCTGCTTGACGGAAAAAAAACGTAAGAGTGTAATTAAAAACAAACAGTATCGTTTTTGTTAATCAAGGTCATAAACCAATCTTTATTTATTTATTTATTTTTCCTTTATTGTACACCATTGAAGTATTATATATACAGGTATTAAATACATTTCGGTATAACAATAGGCGGTCTTATCGCTCACGGCGATCTCTTACAGACAATCTTTATACGGATATTGTCAAAAAAAAATTAAATGTCAATGCTATCTGTATCCAAAATCTGTTTCACCTTTTTGCCTGAAGAAATAACGAAATCCATCCATCAATCCTCCACAAGATAAAGCAAGTACACAAATTGAGCAGGAATCAATGTATTATATTATTAATAACAGACTCAGCTAACGCTAATGCTGATGATGATGATGATCAAATTGGACGAGGTGTTGGCACAGCAAAAATAACAGTCAATCGTGAAGAATACTTGCAAGCTTATAGAGATCTCATAAATGAATCCAAACAATTACAAATGAAAAATAATATTTTACATCGACGACTTGCTGAGCATTACAAGTAAGTTACGTTAAATATTATCTTTGTAATAACAATGGTGAACATTTTATTTCTACACCATAACAACTCCGTTGATAAAATACCACAGCTAAAAACAAAATTCTGTTAGTAGACTTGGCAGGCCATTGACAATTTTTAATTATGAACTTTCTTACAGTGTAAATTTTACAGATTCGTCTTGGGAAATTAAAGAACAATAATAAATAATGTTTTTGTCATTGGTACTTGCTTTCTGCTGATGCTTTATTGTTTTTTTCTGATGAGTTGTTTTGGAACCTGCTATTAAGCTATAAAAAATATATTTATGTATAGGATCCCAAACAACCCCCTTGTGGTTTTTGGTATGCTTGTTGTAAAATATTGTTTTTTTTTGAGAAAATATTAAAAAAAAACAGTAATAAAAGATATAATAAAAACGACAAGTCCAACTTACGTAGCATACTTAACTATTATAAGATGATGTCAGGATTATAATTTATAAAGTGTACGACACTTTATATAATCAATGCATACATTAATGGTGTTCCTCCAAATAAATAAAAACTTATTAGATCGGTATAATAATATAAGAAAGATGTTTATGTAATTGAAAAAAACCTTTTTTATATTTGTTTACTCGTTAACACATTTGACAATATTACTTATTCATTATCGCATCGTAAAAAGATAGATGACGACGCCAAAACGATTGAGTCATGCGACCCATTTTTGAGCGAGGCGGGCGGCTCGAGTTCGGGCGGAACGAGTTCGGACGGAACTAATCTATTAAAATGAACACGCATGAGTTGTGACTGTACAAACAATTGAATACTCGGTTTCAAATAAGGGTTACTTTTTCACAGATAAGTTGAAAGAAAGAACGAAAAAAATGAGCCGGAAAAAATAACTTTAATGCATGTAGAAGTTTTTTTAAACATACACAAATTCAGAAATATTTTGCTGTGATAGTGTAGTACTAGTCACTTGCAATCAGGTGATGAATCTGCTAGCAGGCCGGGGTGGCGGCGAGCACGTTGCGAAGCGCGCTCGCTTCCAGGGAGCAGAGGGAACATGGGGTTCCGACACGGGGGGGTCATCTCCTCGTCTGTAGATGGCCCGAGGTATGTCGGGGCACCAGGGACTTCCTTTCTAGGGTATACCTGGTTCCCCGGCTATTAGTACCCAAGACGGCGTGCGGTTTTAGTCGGCTCGAGTCCGACATGCCACCGATAGGTGGTATTCGAGGGGATTTCCGCACGGAAAAAAAAAAGGTGATGAATCTGCTTGTTTGCCCGTTCTAACGAAACAAAATAAAGCATTGAATAAAACAGTATAACTTGAAACTATTACATCAATATTAAGATAAATATTTTGTATTTTGTCTAAATTTTGTTCCAGCTATTAAATAAACCATATATTTGCAGGTGCGGTATCTACCGTGATAAAATTATAATTTAAAAAATAGTATAACAATAATTAAAATTACAGGGCTCCCATTACAAAAATAAACTGACGCCGGTACACTTTATAGCTGTTTACTATCGTCTGTTAATGTAAACATCACATTGTTCATTTTGAAAACTCAACACGAGAAATTGTATTACACCTTGGCAAAGTCGTAAAATACTTTGTTATGGATATATATTTATATAGGTTGTTTTTGAAAGTGATAAAATGTCTCAGCAGAGGTCCACGGGTGAAAAATAATACATTTTTTGAAATACTTAAAGTCAGTATTTTTCAGAAAACGTAAATGTGAGCATGTATTGAAACCTTTTGAAGGAGCAGCTGATTTGGAGGAAAAGTATACGCAGAAACTAATGTCATACGAGAACTTAAAAGAAGCATCGGAAAAAGAAACAGCGGATGCAAGTGAAATAGCGAATTTTATAGCCTATTTTTTACAACATTATTAGTATTCGTCGTTTATGTTGTTCAATAAATTTTGGAATACAGATACCTTTGCGGACTAATTAGATGCCGGTGACTATTAGCACTCGCAGTACATGTACATTTGGAAAAACTATACCCCTTTTCATACAGTGCTAGCGATAATTCTTACTAACAAAAATAAAATGCTACATTAACTGTGTTGTCTCGGCACGATATTTTGTATTATGAAGCTCTCATTCCAGGAAGCATATTCTGACGAGTAACTTCTGTAAGGGCTTTCAAAAAAATATATACACGCAATATCCCGTTTCTGTAAACCAGGAATTCCCAAACTATTTCGGGCAAGAGAGCCCTTTTATAAAATGAACTGATACTTTAGACCGCACCAGCCAAATTACTGCACGCTTATCGACTTGTTGAGTTTTTTTAAAAGTAAAACTATGATACTTCCTACTCATTGTCATTTGTTCTGTGTATGGGTGTAATTTATCTATAATATGTATGTATTTAAAAATATATGAGTGTGTATATCAGCAGTCTGGTTACCATAGCACAGGCTCTGCCTAGCTTGGAATCAGACGGCCGTGTGTGAGATATTATTATTATTATTCCTACTAAAATATTAGTCATTTTAATGAAAAGTTGGTACACGTAACACAAGTAGTAAAGTATCTTGAAACTTTCAAATAAGAACTCGGGTTAATTAAAAGGGGTCGATTTTTAGAAAATCTGTTTTTATTTATGTCAACCCCTGGGAAACCGATTTCGACCCAAAGGGGTCGATATATCGACTACTTTGGTAATCCCTGCTCTAAACAAACACGTAACCCTAAAGCTTTCTACCCGCTGATTAAACCTTTCGATTATTTCTGTCTATAGATACCTCTTCCTGATGGTAAATTCAAAATCAATTTAAAATATTCAAATATTTCAATAAATGAATCATAAGTATTTTCTACTTGACTAACCCTTTAGATTTCACCAAATATAACAAGAAACAATTCCATCTAACTTTAACGATAACGATGTCAAACACTTGAATTATCGTTTTTAAGAACTTACAGGACAGACTGCTGATAAACATACTTATGTAGTTCTAAATTCATACATCATCATCATCATCATCAACAGCCTTTAACAGTCCACTGCTAAACATAGGCATCTCCTTAGAAAGGAGGTTTTGGACTACTATACCACGCTGGCCAGACGGGTTGGTATAGGGTTTGTGTCAAGTTTACATACATATTATAGATTAATTACACCCAGACACAGAACAAATGGTCGCGCTCATCACACAATATTTATCCTATAGTTAAACCGCCGTAAGCTTGGCCCTCCTGATGGTTTGCGGGACGCGGGTGATGCGCTCGGCTATACATGACACGATGTACTAACTCGATATCTTCAGATTTATTTGTTTGAGATTTAATCTACACACGATGTAATAAAAATCGAATTTATTTCCATGTATCATAATGTCAGTGTATTGTAAGTTTTTATGATTAATTGTAAAATTTAATACTGTAAAATAATTTTAATAAAATCACCTTATCTTCATCATGTAAATTATATTCAGATACAATTTAAAAATTAAGTAAAATAATAAATATTCTTTATTAGAACTTTAACAGTAGAACCTCTGTAAGCCAAACTTCAAGTTTCTAAATCTTTTTGTGACGCAGGTCGGCAGATTATCAATGTTGCAAAATAATACCGTGTGTAGCAGTCTTAAGAAAAATAACACGTACAGCCATGCTTTCACGTCAGTCACTGCCGGCGGACAGCGACGCACTAGCTAATTGGTTGAATGCATCCCCGCCCCGCGTCCCCCAAACCATCAGGAGGGCCAAGCTTACGGCGGTTTAACTATAAGTGGGATTGAATCCACGACTACCGGCTTGGCAGTCAGGGTCACTAACCACTAGACCAAACAAGCCCGTCAACAAATAACTATACGACATCTGAATTACAAAATATTCAATTAGCCGATACCTATTTTTATATTACTCCCCAGCCTCCATTATTTTACACCATGAATATAACACTATACTCAACAAACATAGCTTTTTTTTAATACTCATTTTGTGATAATTGTTTTAGCCCTTCGATTTCATCATAAAAATTTTCGTTTTTTATTTAGTTACGAGCAAAAATTACTACAGTGGAAAATCAATTCTTGGCGCAGCATGAACACGCAGAATCAAAATTTGCTGCATTACAAGCTTTCGAAAGAACTACCGGTACTGGTCTTATCTTCTCTGCTAAAGGAAAACCAATACCTGATAAGGTAAATGTGTTCACCACACTGTTGCTATTTTTTCCAGATCAATCAACCAATTGGCTATATTTTTATACATTTGCTACATTATTTTGTAAAAATTTTCAACACCAAGCAACTCTATTCTTTTTACAAATATTTTTTAAATATATAAATTTAGCTTTATGGTATCTTGCGTCAATGTATAATAAATTAGGTGACACATTTGGTGACATACCAACAGAAACGCCACCTGCCGGATCCAATTATTATACACACAAAATTTCATCCAAAATTCTTCCTCCTGGTTCATCTAACCTGTGTACATAGTTGTAGTTATATCTTCATGATTTTATGTTCAGATCGTCACAAAGAAGATTTACTTTCAAATCAGCTTGTCTTTACCTCTCGTAAATAAAGATTAAAGTTTACCAACAACTAATGGATCATATTTTTTTCCACTTACTATTTGGAAAAAGTAGAAAATTTAATTTTATTATTTTGCCCACTCAGACTGTGTCACGTTTTCTATCACTGCAAAATAGCAAATGGCAACAGGCTTCTGCACTTTACTTAAGGTATGTTAGAGCTAGAAACGCTGTAGCAGAACTTGAAGCTATTGTTAGAAAGCTTGAAGTAATTGGCCCAGGCCTTTACGTCTGCGAGTACGAGCAACTAAATATTGACAATCAGAACTATAGTTCTAAAATAGAAGGTGAGTAATGTATTCATTTTTTTTTTCAAATAGTTTATTTATTATGCCTTTTCATTTCAATAAAATATTTTTTAAAAAGATCAGCGCGTCTTACGGTCTTTGTGTACAGTATAATAAACAATATTTTATGGATGTAGGGATATCTTATAGACCAAGCGCATTATTAATAAATGGTACATATTATGAGGTATTAAAGCAATAACTGTTTGGTTTTTCTCATGTAAAGGTGTTGGTAAAGGTTCAGAATCTAATTACGAACAAAGAAAAACGTGCTAACATTCACACTTATAATATTAGTTAGAATAATCAAGATTAGATACCTTAAGCTTAGCACTAGAGTACCTTATTTTTATAGAACGTCAGGATGAGTTAGTGAAAAATCGTTCAAAATGCACTGAACATAACCAGATGTTGGCTCACATAAGAGAGAAAATGCATCATACTGAAGAAGTTACTGATAGTACTGAATGTGATCTTGGAGAAGCTGAACTTGAGTTTACCAGAGCTAGGGAGGATCTTGGCGCTGTAAAGGTATTCCTAGCTAAAGAGTCGTAAATGTAGTGGTTGTGAACTAAAACTTTTATGCTACTATGCAGGCTCACCAGTTTGAGTTTTAGTTTAACTTTCTTTTTGTATGAATTTTGCCACTCATTCAAAAGTATTGCAATTTGCCATTATTGCAATAAATGACTTTATTTTTGAATAAATTTCAGTTTACACATACCATTATGGTATTAGTTTAATATATAATTTATAATATTTCTGTTTTTTATATTTATAATATTTTTATTTTGGAAATGTTTGACCTTCTTACATGATAAGATTTTTACAAAGTAAAATTATGTTTTTATATACAGGCGCAACGTAACAAACTGCGGTCGTCACTAGAAGTTGAAAAACTAAAAGCGGGTTTACTTACTAGGAAGGACTTATTACGTGATTTTCAAGATGCCTCAGATGGGGTAATTTTTGTATTGTCTACTTTCAAAATGTTCTAGTTTACGGGAAAATAATTAACTAAGTCAGATTTACAGCGTAGGAATCAGGTTTTCTGCTTGGTGATACAGGATCCCTTACTCGGATACCAGCTATACTGATTCACCAACTTTATATTCCAATCTGACTGTTAGAGATTTTAAGACTATTTAAATTAAAAACAAATTTGAAATTTTATCAACTTTACAAGATCACTTAAAAAATAGCAACATATAATGTTACAGGTAATGATTCTACGACAAAGGAAAGAAGAACTAAAAGCTCAAATAGAAAACATAAATAAAAAGTTGAGAGCAGTTCGTCAAAGTGAAAAACTTCATATGGAATGAAATAAATAATTTAATAAATATAATATACATTTTACTATTAACGTTTTGAACGTTTCAATGTTATTCTCGAGCGAATATAATGAATAACAAAATGGAAAGTAAAAAGAGATAAATTCAATGTAATATAAAATAAGACGGACAGTATATAAATATTGAAACAATATGTTCTCAATATATTTTGATATATTTGTGTCGCCGTGAGCACAGTTCTACAATGATTTTTTATTACATAGACACTGAATATTGACCAGTTGAGGGACAGTTGATATTTTTGTATGATGTTAGATTATATATTTAATTATAGATTCTTTGTTTTTTTTTTAAAGCTGTAATTGTAAACACTTAATGAATCCGATGAATTGGCGAGATTACGAACGTGTATAAAACATCTAATCTGTCTAAATGAGAAAAGCCTCAACTTGTATGATAGGGTCATAAAAATGGCGCTTTTGCTGTCGACCCCGGAAAGTAACAAAGTATGACATATGTACGTGTATCCATATATTAATATAATGCTAAAGATGCTTAAAACTACGGCAAGCACTCCAAAAGCTAGATAAATGCTTGTAACTGCTTAGCCTAAACTTTCAACTATCAATTACTGGGTAAAGTAAATTACAAACTACTTGTATTACCTCTATAATAGGATATAGGTAAGGTATACACCATTTGTGTTCTCTATAAATGAATCTCTGTTAGATTCATGTCACTACACGTTTACTTACCGTTGCCTGATAACTCATTATTACTTGACGATCGATCTTCCGATTATCGTTTGATCGTTTTTTTTGTTTACTGTTACAAGATTTATTACTCTATATACATATTTTTAGGTTGTCTGCTAGGGCGAGTGCCGGATCTATGGCGCTTAGACATTACTAGAAGCGAAGGTACAGTTGGCTTTCGGTCAAAACGGTTTTTATCTGTTTTGGTTCTAGACATGTATTATTTGTTTATGTGCATATTTTTTAAATTTTTAAGTAGTTTAATCCAAAACTATCACGATAAGTAAATTAGAACTTAAAATATGGAAGATTAGGTAGGAGTTAAAGAATAAATAACCAGGAATAAATCTATTTAGAAATGGAATATGTAACAATGAAGTAATTATTAAATGTAAGGATTTGCTACCTCTACTCCTAAAAAATGGCTACTACTAAATAGGTATGTGTACAAAAGGCAGCCTGCCGTAAAGGAAACACAGAAAGGTAGGCAGACAGAGTGCCAGCATATCTACCTTTTGTTAAAGGAGTGACGGATTGACTTAGAATAATACTAAAGGAGTAACTCCGCTAAGTCTGTTTATACTCTGTAATCAACGACAGAAAAGTCCTAAAGAACAAAAAAGTTATTGATGCTCTACAGACTTTGGGTGTAGATTTTGTGTCTATCTTATCTTTGTTGATCAGTTAGACCAAGCTTTAATAGCAGAACCAAGCTTATAAGAAGACGAGTCAAGTAATAAGAGCCAGGTTGTCATCACACTAGCATATTAATAGCTATAGTCACGATGCCATCACTAGTAGTGCACATTCTTCTACATCTATTACGATTCTGTCGTAAGCGCTTGTTTTATTATACACTATGTTGTCGGTTTACTATATCAAGTATATTGCCTTTGAATGTTTTGAAAGAATTAGACGATTTAAAGTTATCATAGAAGTGCATGCATGTAAAATAATACATCATAGTACTAATTAACATACTATTTATAACTCGAATGTTTTGTTGTAAATTTAAAGAATCAAAAATAGTTTGAATAAAACCATATGGGTTTAGAAAACTGTACATTTGTAGTTAAATCATGGAGGTAAAATTTCACTTATAAAACATAATAATATAAGTAATTACTTAAAGGTTTTGGAACTTGAATTTCGCAAAAAGCTCGGGAAAAACTGCGAGACTCGATTTCTGAATTATTCGTACGGAACCCTTGGTGGGCGGGTCCGACTCGCACTTGTCCGGATTTTTTACCTATCTCTTTCATTTTAAAAGTATGTAAATCAATTTAATATATGTAATACCTATATATATCTATATAGATGTTACGATTAATTTATAAATAATTACAATGTGAGGTTACCGTTAACCCATGCCAAAACTTACTGTAAGTTTTAAACCAACATACTTTTAAATTTAAAATGCTTAGTCACATAAGCAATAAAACATGATTCATGGATTTTTAAAATTCTTTGTTTGTTTGTTAGTTGCCAATAACTTTAACTACTAACCAAATCTTCACGTAGTCTTTACAGATAGTCACAGCCCCTAAGTGACGAAATATAGACTTGATTTAGAATATTGCAGTAATCTAATCATTATTAATAATTTATTTATAGATATTTATAAAGAACTAGTAAAATGACCGATTGTTATTTCTAGTGACCATATGGCAGGCAAGAAAACTAGCACAGAGAATTAGCATTCCCACTCAACGTGTGAATGCTGTCAGCCCTCTGGGAATACTTCCAGTAACAGTGCCAGTTGCCAACGATGCGAAAGTTGTTTTTTGTTTTAGTGTGCACATAATCTTATTACGTTATTAATTTGTAATGTTACTAATACATTAAATATGTTTAGTGTATAGATAACTAGTAAAATCGTTGCCGAATCAAATGCAACAATAAATATCTGTAGCTCTTATTTGTACTTCTTTTAAAATAATATTATATATAGTTACAAAATTAATCTTTTGTAATATGATATTCAGAAATAAAAGGTTATCCCAATGGCTTTCTTTCTTTCAAAATAGCACTAAACGGATAGTTTCTTACTTCAACCAATTGAAACGGACAGTACAACATTTTTTTACAAAAGCGCTGAATACGCTGCATCGCTTCAAAACTGGTGTCGCCGCGTTCGTTCGATACTCGCTTTTTGGTCACCATAGCAACGCTACATTGGACTTGCATGTTGTATTGTTGAGATAATGGAGTAAAATAATTTCGGCTTGGTACCTTAAACAGATCAATAAGTCTGGTAATTCAAGCGGATCACGCGATATGGCCGCTCCTGAGGTAATATTGCTGTATTTTTGTCCCTTTCAGTTTAATTAACGTTGCTTGCCAGGCATGCAATCTGGTTGTTGTCAACGTCTACTGTCATATAACTTTTGCACGAACCTCGATCCCTTGTGTCTTTGTTACTACTATTAATATTAAGTATTCGTAAGCTGAAATACAGGATCTACAATGATGTTTGCGCATAATTTATTTTTACGATGGTAGATTTCTGAGATTTATTTTACTATTGTACAGAAACATTACATTGTCACAAACATTACATACATGTCGTACAGTTCGTGCAATAATATCTTCGATACTTAAATTATTTACCATAATATAAGGTTAAAGTTTAAAATTTTAGGCACTTGTGATTGTAGGTTTGTTTGAATTATTTTGGTTTATAACTGAGAGAGGCTTACAGGTATTTTTAATGAAAAAAAGATTTGTAATTTTCAACTGTGTAAAATACCTAACCTGGTTTAGGTGGTAACCATTAAATTACATAAGATATTAAAATAGTAACGTATCATTCTTTGAATAACATATAAGATATATGATCATTTTTATTGAGTAATAACAAAGCATACTAAGCCATGTAGATAAAATCTAGTCACCTACGAAATGTCTCTTTTGGAAATGCTATAAGTAACTACCTGCATTCCTTAAATATCGCCTTCGGTGTCGAGCTGTGTTACGGATCTGGATTCCACATTTTATATTTTGATGTACATATATTGGTATGTACAGTAAACAATAAAGAAACAACTTTTTTAGGCTAAAAGGACAAGGATTTGTTTTTTGGTGAACAATTACTTAGTTTTACGGGATATCAGTAAACAGTAAAGCAATGTATTGTACGTCGTTTCTTGATATACGTACGTATATATCATATCAGTTACGCGTTACGCTTTTCTACACAGTACAGTCGATACAGTAAATATTAATTTTACAGGAGAGATTTTAACAAAAGAATACTTGTCAACTGTTTTATAAATGAGAACGTAGTAATGATATAATTGTTATAATAGTTACGTAATAAAAGAAAATACAAAAATACATTTTAAGTAGGTATTAGGGTTCCAGGGTTTTAGAGGAAAACACCATAACATAATCTGCATTCCACATAAGAGTAGCTTATTCACTGTCACTTTTTTGTATGTTACATAATGTGTTAGTTTAGTCTAGTTCATATCAACTTGCTTCCATTTTACGTCAGAACAGATTATGTGTCCCTAGGGATTCCTCAGTCCATTTCAGTGCCCTGAATGCGTGGCTGCAAAAATTAATGACGAACAATTGAAGTACTACAATAACACGGCTCATTGCTAATACTATATATTGTTAACTAGCTGAGCCTGCAAACGTTGTTTTGCCATTTACATTATTTAATTATTATTATTTTTTTGAATTTCGTAAAATCCGTTCTTAGCTGACCTCTACTCGGTGAAAAGAATATTCCTACCAAATTTCAAGTCTTTAGCTCTAATGGTTCCAGAGATATCGTGATGAGTGACTATATACGTGGAAATCACTTATATATATAGATTATTTGTTCTGGTATGTAAGAAAGTATATCTTACTACTTGGTACTAACGTACGTTACGTAACCGTATATGTACTTATACGCACATACATAGAATCTAAGCTACGTAAATTATAAACCCGCTCTTAAATAAGTGTGAACCGGTCTAATATACATAATTATATGCACATATAATTTCGCGACTACCTTTATCTTCTGTTTATCTTATCTGCGATTATCTTTGGTGTGTATTACAGAAGCTAAAGAAACCAAAAACAGAGAGATGTGACGAAGGTGAAGATACTGAAACATGTGGTAAGATAGATAACGTGTATCGTATTTAGTAAACACGTTACTATTTTTCTTATAAATATAAAATATATATCATCATCATAACAGCCTTTATTAGTCCACCACTGGATATAGGCTGTTCCTTAGAAAGGAGGTTTTGGCTAGGCTTAATTTCAAGTTCTCCTTCTTGCAGTGCTGTTGTCCTTTGTAATCCTCTCATATAATAACAATAATAAAAATGGCAATCGGATTTCAAATTGGCGAAGTTTGTTGTCTTGGTAACCTGATTGCTGATAACATACTTACATATTTCTAAATATATATAGATAAATTACACGCAGACAGAACAAATGATGGTACTCATCACACAATTATTTGTCCTGAGTAGGTATCGAACCCACGATCTGTGGCTTAACTGTCAAGGCTCACTAGCCACTAAACTAAACTGTCAAAATAATAATATGCTAACAGTATCAACTGTAGATGGACCAAATTTATTAGATCACTTCAACTATATCAGGAAAATGTACAGATAAATCCGCAAATCTGTTTCGCAAAGTAACAGTGTGTAGGTCGCGCTAGCTACTTACAAATGATCACAATTTAAATTTTAAACAATTACGTCCTTCGTGTTGAACCCACCTTACATTGCGCACCCAGGCGAGGTCGGTTTATTCCTAGTAGGTCCATGAGGCCAGTTCCACATGGCACTGACGTAACCTTAAAAATGCGATTTATGTACCATTTGTTCCATTTAATGTTATACTACTTTTACAGTCAGGTCACTAGTTCGATCATTCATCTAACAGTGTCTGTTTCCCAACCGATATCCAGCAGGATAGTACAGTTTTATTTTTAGTAAGATAAAATTTAAAAATGTGTTTTAGCGGTAGTCAGCACTTGTTAATAATATATGCAGACTGTCATATAAATTTGGAATATAATAATTTGTCATTTGAGTACATAAATCATAAAGTGATGTGTTAATAAATCTAAATATGATAATGATGATGATGACAATGATAATAAATCTTCATAATGATTTTCACAAATAATATATTTTATTTATCAGTTTTTTTGTGAGTTAAAAAAATCTGTACCTATGGGTTTATACATTTTTTATCAGAAACTGAAAATGAACAAGATGACGCCAAACAAGTTGAACAAAATATTATAACAAAAAATCGAGAAGTAAATTTACAAGCTTACAGAGATCTTTTAAACGAAAGTATGTTTCTACAAATAAGGAATAATGTCCTACATCGTAGACTTGCCGAATATTATAGGTAAGTTGTCGTTCAACTATGGTGTCTATTCACATCTGCTAAAAGAATACTTCTGATTAATTACATTAGCTCCTGCTTAACAACATCTTATTTTTACCCTAAATTCTGTTGTTATTTTTCTTTCTCTACAAATACGTTACAAAATAACAACAAGAGTTCAACTATAATAATAATATCTTGTAATATTTATTTTTTTATTTATAGGAAGCGCGAGCTCGACCATGTATTTAAACCGTTTCAAGGTACGGCAGATTTAGAAAAAAAATATCAACAGAAACTGATGTCATATGAAGAACTTAAAGAAAAAACGGAAAGAGAAATCATAGATGTAAGTTAGGTTCTTAATAACATAATTTATAATAATATTTGGAACTGTAACGAACCTAACTGAACTACATTCAACTATTATGTGTGTCTTTATTTTTAATTTATTAAAATATGTTAGAGGCCGCGGACCTACACCTTCTGCAGTCATCCCTTCAACGCAACTTTTCTCTTTCAATATAATAGGTGACGGCAATCATTTTTTCCCTTTCAAAAGTTCACTCAATATAGCTGGCAAAATATAAATAGGTACATAGCCTAAGGATCAGAAATAAATCTACAGTAGAGTTGATCAAATAACTGTGGTAAGAAAGAGTTTTTCTCCATTCTATAATATTAAAAATATTTAATATTAGTGTTTACACAGTAGTCAGCCTTTGGCCATTGTTCATGCAACCTCGTTGAAACTTTAGTCAAATCAAAGTTTTTTGATACCCTACACTATCTTACTTGATCACTTTGTTTTCCGTACGTTTACATAATAACACATCATGGAAAGCTTCGGTTTAAAACTCACTTTTACACAGTTTACAGTAAAAAAGGAGTTTATTATAGTGCAATTAAAATATTTACAATATTTACATACAAGCATCAAAAAAAAAATTGCGTTCTACTTTTAGCGTTCCCAGAAGACTGGCAGCATAGCCATATACTCGTATACTGTCCAGAAGTGTCGATCAGTTGCTTAGCTAGTCGTTTATTCACAGTTGAATATAATTTCTCCAGATGCGATCAAAAACTTGTGCAGTAGAAAACAATATTATAGGAAGACTTGAAGGGGCCGAGAAAAAATTCATTGCATTCCAAAATCTAGAAAGGAGTATCGGTACGGGTCTTATTTATTCTGAAAAAGGCAAACCAATCGCTGATAAGGTTAGTCAATTTTTGAACTTTATTTTAAGTTAATCTTAAAATCTTTTTTATTTTGTTGATAGTAATTATTAATAGATTACATAGTACATGTGGCTGTAGCCAACGATAAATCAGGCTCTATGTATCACCACAAGAGCTGGAAGATGGTGATATCAGAGTAAAATGTAGACTTTAATTATTTTGCCTCTCTACTTGTATGTTATAACAGACAGTTTCAAGATTCATTACATTGCAAGCTCAGAAAAGTGAACAGGCTTCTACACTTTCTCTAAGATACATAAGGGCTCGAAACGCTGTTGCTGAATTGGAAGCTGTAGTAAGGAAACTAGAAATTATGGGGCCTGGTCTTTCTGTACATCAATATGAGCAGCTCAATATTGAAAACAAAAATTTTAAAAATAAAATTGAAGGTAAGACGTTATTAGTAGCTTTTTATATTATGTAATGGTAATCTTCTTTTTTAATCGAATTGCAAGTCAATGTCGACTCGCCGTTATTGACTTCTTTCCCATTGTATTAAAAAAAAGTTTCCTTAAAATATATTTTCTGTGAATGATGTAATGAACGCATTACACAATGAACTATACTTAATTTATAACTAAAATTTAACGCTAATCATAAATATATTTTTTTTTAACTTTTGGCAGAACGTGAAGATGAACTCATAAAAAATCGCGCAAAATGCACAGGACATAACCAAATTTTGGCTCATATAAGAGAAAAAATGCATCAGACGGAAGAGCTCATTGACATATCTGAGTGTGATCTTGGAGACTTTGAAATTGAATATAAAAATTGTAGAGGACATCTTGGCGAGGCAAAGGTAAACAAACTAATGCACGGATGGCGTAGTGGTTTAATTGGTCGCCACGCCGCTTCTTACTACGCTGAGTGTTGTAGGTTCGATCCTCACATGGGACGAAACTTTGTGTGCACCCCAAATTGTCGTTCTGAGTCCGGCGTGTTCTTTGTGTCCGTTTCATGTATTTTGTAAAGTCCCCCGCGACTTGTCTTTAAAAAAAAGTCACCGATTGTAGTTACGGATATTGACTTCTCCTCAGACTACATAAATATAATTCGGTTAAAACATTGGTTAAGTAAACTTTTTTATTTTAATTTTCAATGTTCATGTTGCCTCTGAAATACAATGATTTCTGTCTACAGTAGATATCGAATCGTCCAAATACTGCGCTTTGGGTGGCAATTTATTTGCCAAATATATTATATTGAAAAATGTTAATATAATGGTTTAAAAAAAAAAAAATGTATTTGACTTTCACTAAAATTTAAATTTATGTTATATATAGAGAACTTAGTATATATTTTATGAAAAGAAACATGTCTTCAAGTTAGAAAATGAATATTCATAAAATATTAGAAGTGTAGTTATTTAAAAGAATGTTCTGTTTTACTTTAACAGATGAAACGTAATAGACTCCGATGGTTGTTAGAAGCGGAACAGAAAAAGGCAGGCTTGCTTACTAGAAAGGATTTATTGCGCGATTTTCAAAATGCCAGAGATGAGGTAATTTTGTATATTGATTAATTTTGGTTACCGAGCGGTATCATGCATGCTTTATACCATTTTTACCTTTATGATAAAACAACCAATCATTTAAATCCAGCTCGGTTTCGACACTTCTATGATGACATGAACCCTAATTAATTCAAGGTTATCGTTTACGTGGTGCTAGTGTCATTAATACCTTTCAGTAACTGCCCATTCTCGTCGAAACTTTAATAGCTTAGGTCGGCTATTCACTTTTCGGAGTTGACCCTATTTGATATTTTTACGGGACTCGTTAACTCTTATGGAATGGCAAGGGAGAGGCAAATTCTAAATTATTTTCTGGCGTAAGGCTAATAAACGGAAAAACTAGCCAGAAAAACTGTGTTAAAATACTAACTAACTATGTTAATATAACTAACTACAAGAAATCGATAGGATAGAAACGATAGCTCGTAAGTGTAGATATGTTTAGAAAATATATCTTTCTTTTAATGTACGAAGTTTATAGGCCATTTGTGAGTGAACGCAGCAATCAAATGTCCTGTAACAATTAATGCTTTTCTTAATATTTGTTTTTTTTTTTAAATTACTAATTAATTTTAATCAGTGCTCAAATTTTTAGGTGGTGACTTTACAAAAAGCTAAGGAGGCCTTACAGTCTCAGATAGTTAGTACTAGTCGCCAGCTAAGAGAAGCTCGAAACAACACGTATTTTTAAATGAATCTAGGAGGTAGAAGTCGTTTGATTTTAGTGCAAATTGCTACATTAACCCGAATTTACTTACTATCTTACTGTCTTTATTATATTTTAAGTTGACTAACTTATAAATTGACTTAATTGTTTTTCTTACAATTATCTATTTACATTTATAAATCTTTTATTGCTTATTCATATTTCTGAATGAAAAGTAAAATATTGTTATAATAATAAATCAAATCGTATGTAACGTGTAGTTTGTTTTTTTTTTTTCAAATATAACTGGCCCCTATTCATTTATACTAACAGATAAACACTCTGCAGGAATCCTGTCATGAAATATTAAAAATCCGCATTGATAAGTTTATTGAATCTATAAATAAAAAAACAAAAACATTATAAAAAAGGAGATTTATTGGAAAGTTAATTACAACATTGTAAGTATATTACATCTATTATTATTTTGATTTGAACTTAAGTATAAGGCACTCAGTTATTATGTTCTTTATTGACTAGTTGTATGGATAATATTGTATTTATGTAAATTTGATAAGTTTTATCATCATGAGCCTTCTTTGTGACCTGCTAGTCTGACTCCTTCTGGTTGTTCTATCGTTTCTCTGATGATAGGCCCATGTTTCCATCCTTCAGGGTACCCATATTGCCGAACGTCGTCCCACCATTGTTGTTTGCCATCCGCCCAGATGATGTAGATCACATTTGTGCCAACAAGTACAGCAAAACATACCCAAAATGCAATTCTCCACTGCGCTAAGGTCGACTGCAAAATTAAAAAATACGAATTAAATATGCAAAAGTCTAATTTTTAGAGCAAAAAACGTCGAAATTGTTCATTCTCCTGATTTTTTTTTACTACATTGGACGAAAATATTTTATGGCTGTAAAAATTGTTATGATCATAAAATAATATGAAATTTGTTTTTAATACATAGTGTTAAAAAGAAAAAGCCTACTAGATATTCTGTTATAGTGTGGACGTTTAACGCCTCTGACTGGATACTCAGAGCCGTTAAACGCTTTCACTATCACTATATCGGATATAGACGTCAGAAATTAAGTGCGTCTTAAGCAATATAATTATAATAATAACCTAAAATGAAATATAGCTCCCCAAATTAACATTAACAGGCACGTAAACAAAGTATCAAAACGTGATTTATTAATAATAGTGTTCTAAAATAAAAGTCTTTCTCGATGTTAGAATTTCGCCTGACAAGATGATGTTACCATAAATTATATTATGAACCCTCTTATATTTTCTCTTTGTGGATTGACATCTATACACCTAAAAGTTCATCAATATTAATTCACTAATAAGAACATAAGCTAAGGTAGCCGTTTGCTATCCACCTTTTTTATTTTATTTTTAATGTGTGGAAATCCCCTCGGCCCGTCACCCCACCGGGGTTTGCGGCGGGGTGGTGTGTCGGACTCGGACCGACTAAAACCACACGGTGTGCCACTCTGCGCCTGTAATAGGAGGGATCCGGGAACAGCTGTTATTAAGACATCCGGACCCCTCCTAGCGCCGGCCCGCTCCTGTTGCGGGCCCCGTCTCAAAATTTTCCTCTCTTTAGGCAACGTCCGGCACACGCGGACGCCGCCCCCTCGCGGCTGGCCAAAATAATGCGGGTGGAGGGGAAACCCACCCCGTCCACCCGCGGCCACACTCAGGGCGGCATGAGGCGGTGATAGGCGCGCCTCCGCCGCCCGGTTCGCCGGCGGCGGATCGGGTCCGAGTGGAGGTCGTCCTCCCGGGCCTTCTCCGCCGCCTCCTTCTGCGAGATTACTTCCTCGCAGAAGGTTGCGACCGCGGTAAAACAACTGTAGCTACCGGCCATGGAGCGTACTACGGCCGGTAGCGAGAGATCCATTTCGATGACTGCAGTGAGGGCCCGGCGCTGCGTCGCCCGTGCGGGGCAGACCGCCAGCGTGTGCTGGGCCGAGTCCTCACTGCAGTCGCAGTGGTGGCAGGCGGGACTCAGTTCCCTCCTAGCGACCGAGTGCAGGTACTTTCCGAAGCAACCGTGCCTGGTAAGCACCTGCGTCAGCCGGAAGGTAAGGGTCCCGTGCTGCCGCCCTGCCCACTCGGCGATGACCGACTGGAGAGCCTCCACGGCGGCGAAGCCAGCGCATGGAGTCTCCAGCCGGAACGATCAACGAGCCATCGTGGCTCGGCGAGCGGCTTCGCGCCACTCGCGCACGTCTTCGGGCAATTTTATCTATCCACCTACACCAACCAGTGTACCTACTGCTAAATAAACTGTTTATTGAAACTTTTAAAGTGTTACTTATAACTGCAAAATAATAGAATAGTTCAAGGTTAGTTGGCTGTAATACTTCGAATAAGTAAAACCAATGCCAAATGGACCCTGTCATTGTTTATCAGTGTCTGAATAATAATATGATTTATTGTGTTTTGAGTGTTGACCTCGAAACATTGTAAGAGATACAGCTCTTCGCTCTTGACATTTATTGTTTAAATGGAATTTAATATTAACAGTGTCCATACAATGATTATACTTCATCATGATTTTATAATCTATAAATCATTTAAAATTATTACTTTCAATGAAAATTGTAATAAAAATTCAATGTTTAGTAAATTATATGCGTATTTTTAGTAATACTGACATATTAAAGATTCATTTCATAGTTCATATAGATACAATTTGTTTATTTTATTTTGATTAAATGAACCAGTGCTGAAATAAATTGTTATTGAGCTTAAACACGTAATATTTTTATAACTAATACCATAGTTGTATTGGCTATATACGTAACGGCTTGGCTATATACAGTACTAAACGTACGGCAATCTTTATATATATAATTCTTCTATGAGTGTGTATGTCACTGAACTTCTCTCAAACGACTGGACCAATTTTGATGAAATTTTTTGTGTGTGTTCAAGGGGATCTGGGAATGGTTTAGATTCACAATTTTGTCCGTTGGACAATGTTTTTTAATTAATTTTTAATTTATTAGTAGTTGTTGATTTTGGAATGTTTTACATTGGATCAGACAGACGGCGCTACCATCGCAGTGTCAAATTTGACAGGACAACGTCTGTCGGGTCCGCTAGTATAAGTATATATTAGCATTATACAGAAGATCTATTTTCTGATGAATTTTTTTCTGTTTTACTGGACTCCAGCCAGTCATTGGCTGTTAAGACAGTTCATTATGTAGTTTTTAGAAGACTGTAGCTATGTGTAGACAAATACAATATTTTGTAACGTGTACTTAATTCATAGATTCATAATTTAAGGTTAATTTATAGTCAGCTGATATGTTTAAGAGTGTCGTGGTTCTCTTGAACTTTACAAGTAATTCAAATCCAATACATTTAATTATAATATATACGAGTATACATACATATTAATAGAATATAATTAGAAATTAGTAGAGTCCTTACATTAGAAATGTGTCCCATTCAAATTTGTACTATTCAGATAGGGTTTTTAATTCTCAATCGATTTACCGCCTCAAGCATTACTTGCAATATACAGGGTGTAAGGGACATCGTAACGAATACTGAAATAGTGTATTCAGATCATAATTCTGAGTAGAAAATCATTGGAATTTTTAGCCGGAAAATGCATTATTTTTCATTTTTAAGATATATCACATTGAGTAAACAGAATGTTTTACGTAAAATAATTAAATAAATACCGCATACGGTCAATAACTGCAATGTAATAATTAATCAAACAGCCGAAGAGCGCAGGGCGTGTATTACTTTTGTGCGATATCTACGGGGCATAACCTTAACCTTTGACAGCTGATTGCATATAACGTTAAATTTTTTGACGCAAAATTCCAATGATTTTCGACTCAGAATGATGGTCTGAATACACTATTTCAGTATTCGTTACGTATGTGACACATGCGTAACAACGTGTATAACATTAGCTTTTGCCTGCTCCGACGGCGTGTAAATAGTAGCCTTTGTTACTCGCTGATAATGTAGATTTCTTTGGTAAAAGAATTTCTAAAATCGGTTTAGTGTTTAAGGCGCGAAAGCGTAACAAACAAACTAACTTAAAGGTTGGTAAATATTAAATTTGTATCGTATTTCAAATACTTACATCTGGTGTTAATAATCCTATAAGATAAGGGGTAACGATGCCAGCAAATGTTGACGTAGTGTTCACCAGGGAAGTTAAAGAGCCTGCGTAATTCGGGGCTAAGTCCAATGCATTCACCTGTAAAATATTAAAAGATGTTATATAATAAGTCAACATTAGAATTATAAAACAAAGAAAATAAAGTACAGTAATCTTTTAATTATTAGTAAAAATATACAAGAATAAAACCCAGACATGACTTATGAAATACAAATGTACAAGAAATCCTTACTATTATTATTAAATTAAAAATTATGTTATATTATATAAAATGTATAAAGTTTTATATAATATTATAAAATGATTGAAAAGGGCAGTTTTTTTTTCGTTTGAAAACTTTCACGCCTTAACTACTATATCGATCATAATCAAATTTTGCGCATAATTTGCAAGAAATATGTGTAGAAAGGGACTTTTAGTACCTATCATTCATCATAAAGGGCTTATACTCAAGGGATTGATTGATTGATAAAATTTACAACCTCGCGATACGATAATTAGGTCATAGGGAATTTTACCATAAACACACACACACACACACAACACACTACAGCGCTAACTTGACGGTGAAAATAAGTGCCTCAATCTCAATGCTTTTGTGTTCTTTTATAATAAGAGTTTTATTCGTTTACGGTCTTGCCTAAGTAAACTTAATAATATGTTATTGCTATACTTGTGCTTACTATAAAATTATACATTACGCCTAATAACACGATAAACGAAAGCAAAGGGAAAGGAGGAAATTTGCAGGAATTGTATTTATGCGGGTCCTTATTTCTCTACCATGATTCTTAATAAAATTTCCCCTTGAGAATGAAATAATACGAGGCTTTGTAAAGCTTAACAAAAATTTATAACAAAGTATACTAAGTTCTTTGTTTGTAAAAGTAAATATCCTAAAAATTTGCCTAAAAAAAGAAACAAACAAAACAATTTACGTTGCAGGGCGCGTTTCTGTCATTACTTTTTAAATTACCTCATAAAGCGAAAGCAAGATTTTCTTTGACTCTTTTTATCGAAAGCTTTTATCTTGAAACTGTAACCCTTTTTTTATATATTTATTACACGTTTACAATTGAGCGTAATTGAGCGTAATCGCCGGTATACCCGTAATATTGGTGATTTTTAAGCTCAATTCACCTTTATAAAAAAAAGTGTCTTTTTTAGATGATATATTAGGATATCACGTAAATATATTGTTAAGATAGATTATAAAAAAATACATTATAGATATATTGTAGAGAAGATAAAAATATGGAATGTATTAACATAACCACATCTCTTTTTAAATAAGTAGAGCACATTTTCTTAGTTAGTAGTTCAGTGTCGCAGGGTATTTTATAAACTTTAGGACAAAGAACATGAATAGCACCCAGACTTTGGAAAACTATTTATGTATTTTACAAATTTTTGGCCCCTAAAGAACAAACCAACCTAACCATGGTACTCTCGGTTCAGTACCTATAATAATATTCAGCATTAAGCCACACAAGTATAAATTTGTAAATAATTGAACTGGAAAACGAATAAACATGGAAATGTACCTTTAAAAATATAGAGAGTTATTTTCTAACATTGGTAACAGACGTTATTAGATGTAGGGAAGTTCTACATTGCCAAGTAATATTGGGGTAAGTATTCTTTAGAATGGCGCACAATGGCTATTGTGTTGTATTCTCATAAACTAGCGAGTAACTCTGTAAAAATAAAACTTTTCAAAGAGAAATTGTACAGAGGCAATGATTATGTTACAAAAAGGAAGAGGTATTAGTATTAAAAAACTTTTATTCATTACGAGTATCTATGCGCACTGGATTATCAAAGGTGAAATTTTTGTAAATGTAATAACCCTAATTTTTACTATTCATTTGAAGAATGCAGCAGTTATAGAGTGGAAATTTTGTAAATAAGTATACCAATGTATGTTAGTAAATTAAAAAGTACGCGAAAAAGATCGGCATTGGTAAGTACTAAAAGTGCTAATTACTACGAGAGAAGACCCGTGCCACACAGTAGCATGGTTTATGTTGCTCACTTTTGGCTTACATCCGACTTAACTAATACAGGTGTACAAAAGCTTAAAAAAAAACTACATAGTTCCCGGAAGTGCTGCTAGATAAACATGAATCGCAAAACTGATTAAAACCGACCGAAACCGAGAAAAAGGCATGAAAACTCAAGAAATGTATAGAAATTACGTATAACTTTAGAAGCATAAAAGTAGGTAATTTCAAACGGTTAATAAAAAAAAAGTGTCTTTCATTAAATAAAGTAAATCATTATATGAGTAATTTTTTTTATTTTAAAATAAAATAGGAATGACATAATTTTATAAAAAGGGAACGTACCTTCATACCACTGTAAAATCCTCCCATGAGAGCCATAGATAGAACAAAGTACACCATTGCAGCCGTACGATCGCAGCCTGCATAAGACGCCAAAATAATACAGATAGCGGGACCAGTGGCAGCTGAAATAATAGAAATATGTAAAAGAAGTTAGTTTCAGCTAAAATCTTATCCAAATACTCCGTCTACATATTATAAAAATAAAATGTGTTTTTGAATTTGCGTATCTCCTGCATTCTACGGGTAATGAAGAGCCCCTGACCAATTCTTATTTTGAAGTCAATTGAATAGTTAAAATACTGCTACTAACTAGTTGTTCGTTACTATTTTGGCAAATTCAAGTTTCACTTTTAAATATTGACTTTTAAATATTCATTTCCCTTAGTTCTAGCTACTGTACAACAATTGGCGTTGCTGGCATCGTCTATTTAGGTTGCATTTATAATTCATAGACTAACTGTATTGAGTATTAAAAGAAAAAATCATAGGTATATTGCATTTATTAATTTCATATTTAAAACTATTGACACAAATTAAAAATCACCTGTATATTCCTGTGCAACTACAACTTTAAGTAAAAAGTTCGTGGAGCTTGATATGGTTAGATAGCAGAACTTTAATATTATAACAGACGAGACATTGCACCTGAACCACTCGGTTGAAGTGCACTCTCTCTTGTTATTATACTTTAAGGAACATGTTACATAAAATAACATGACTTCTTGCAACATACAATGCAAAACTAGAAATGTTTAATGTAATCATTTTGATTTAAAATATCAATATTGTTATTATTTCTACTTCTTAACGTATCCATCTTTTATGGGAGATTTTATAAATATGTAATCAACAGACAGAAATTTAAGTTTAGGAAAATCACACATTTACAAATGTTTTTTACAAATAATATTATTCCGGGTGAAATCCATACCTGTATTTTAAATGTGAATGTTAGTTTGTTTGTTACGCTTTCACACCTAAACCACTAAACAGCTTTTACAACTTCTTTCACCAATGGGAAGCTACATTATCAGCGAGTAACATAGGCTCCTTTTCACCGCGATAACCGACTAACACGCGGGCGGAGGCGTAGGCAATATATACTAAAATATAAGTGAATACACACACATACACAAAAGTCACAAGACGGCATTTACTCGTATAGTGTAAATGTATAAAGCTATCTATATCATAAAGTCTCAGTGATAAGACAAAAACATACCAATAGTCGTGTGAACGATTCTTCCAGTCTTGATAGTGTGCCAACCTTTCTTAACACACAAGTCACAGACGAAACCGAAGCCGAAAGAGCAAATCCACATAGCAATGTATGGCAAAGCAGTGAGAGTGCCTGTGGTTGCGATATTGAATTTCAACACATCGTGGGAGTACTTAGGCAAATCAGTCACCATTGTGTAGTAGCCCCAATCGTGGCCAACCTGAAAGCAAAAAGGTTTAACTGCTTAAAAACTCACCCGTTGATTTACTTTAGATTTTAGAATTGCTTAGTACAGAGGATCGTAATTTTCACCTCCTCTTTTTCTTTTATTGTTTTCAAGCGATCAATACTACTATGGCAACGAACTGTGAGCTTGCTCTCTGAAGCATGTAAATCTCCTTCGAAATATTCATTTAAATCAAGCATTCATTTGAAGGGCTTTTCCACAGGGATTGAAACTTGTTTAATATAATAACAATAAAACTTTAGCGTTATACATTTCATGCTATATTTGTGATGAAAATAATATTTACTAAGAACTATGAAATACTTTTTGTTATGGCATAAAGGGGCAAACGAGTTGACGAGTAATCTGATAGTAAGTAACTACCCCCGCTTTTGGAACATAAAAGTCACAAAAGAAGTCCGCCCCGTAATATCAGCGGGGAGGGGAAGGGGTTGAGCTCCGGCAACCTCACCCACTCGGTGCAAAGTAACGAAAGACTTAAAAGCGGTTTTCTGCGAGGCTGTAGTACCATACTGTAAGCACTATACTGTAAATACTAAGGGCTTGCTTCGTTCCACCGATTACAATATATATATAATTTTTATGAAATTTTGTGTGCACATCGGGTAGGTCTGAGAATCGGCCAACATCTATTTTTCATACTCCTAAATGACAAGGGTGATCCAACCCAAAAACTTATTTTTCAATATTTCCTAGAAATAATGTATATAGCAAAACAACGTTTGCCGGGTCGGCTAGTTTAATATAAATTCAAGTTTAATTAAGCCTCAGTTATTCAAACCATCAGCGTATCGGTACGAGTTTTGCAATTTCCGGCACTGATGGTTAATTAATATTCCGTACCCATGTTGGGGCCCTAATAATTCATTCACGATTTGATATAGAACGATAAATACACGCATTAAATTAAATTTAATACTAATAACATTAATTCAATAAGCCTCTAGGATATCCCTATACTTTAACAGCAAACTGAAACTATTTATTCCTAACTTTTCATCTGTCTCTAAAATGAAACGTTTACTACAAATCACGCTCTTATCTACGTTCATGCGTTATTACATTTAAACAAAATGAAAACCTCCAATAGTTTAAAATTACAAGCGCGCCATATTAGCCTTTCAAGAACTTAGTGTCGGCATAGACCAATAAAAAGAAAGAAGAAGGGAGGGCTAAAGCCAAGTATTCCGTTTTCTATAGTTCTTGGCTTTAACTCTAAGTCAAAATATCTAAATTATGCAGGCTGAAGTCATAGATCAACACACACAATAGCAACAATCTGTTTTATTAATTACATAGCAAAATAAATGTACACCTATCGACTATCCATTACATGCATGTGCCGATCTACAACCGCCCACTTCCAAGGGGTTGAGCATTGTAAGAAGACGTCGCAAACAAACTCACGACCTTTCTCTTTTAATTTATAGATAGGTACAGCTAGAAACAGTGGCATCATTAAATATTTGTAAATTCTGTTAAAACAAAAAACTATCCAAAATTAAAAATATAATAATGTATATACTCGTAATGTAAATAAGAGGTCATTATAAGAGTTATATTAGCAGAGAGTCCGGGTCTTGGGAAAGCCAGTTATGTAATTAAAGGCTAATAGGACAAGAATGATTTTGTCTAAAGTATTTGTATGTTTCACGTCCGAAGAACAAAAATGAACCCATCACCGTACCGAAAATACATATAACGAACAAAACAGCCGCCTACAACGCAATCAGGCCAAAGCTTATATGCCAGTACATAGGTCCTTCAGAACATCGTTAAGTCATTGTTGAGGGAATAACGAAAGAAGCGTGGATCAGAAGTGTTCTTTACAATGTTAATAGGAGTATAGCTTAGGTTTAAATATTTACAGACCGATTTAACCTTTGAGTTTTGATTCTTATGGGACATAATTCTTTTCAAGAGTCACTCCCTTTGGGTGTACTAGATGAAGGCCACTATACTATTACCGATCTTATTTCCAAAATCAGTTTTTCAACAATCATAGACAAAACGTAAATCTAATATTGCCGATCTTGTGTACTATGTGAACTTAATTTCTAAATCACTACTCTCCTAACTATTCCTTACTAAACTAAAAATAATTTTAGAAACTGGCAATTAATGTTGTTTCTTTTGCATACTCTTTCTTAAACGTACAGAAAAGGACAAAACGAAATTGTTAACTGTGGAAAAAAATAAGTTATTCTTATGCATTAGTTTATTTTAAAGTAAAGAATATTTGTTTTTTTAATTTGGACCATGAAGGTATGTAATTTTAACTCTGTGTTTTACGCATCTACTTTGCGGTTTTGTCGACAAGCATTTGGAGCACAGCAAAGGTTAAGACTATTTATAATATTTAAATACTTGAACTACAGTCATTGGTTTTAGTCGTTTTTATCTAACCTCATGGTTACACACGTTATAGGTGACACATAGGTATTATGCATAGAGAAGCATCCTACATCGGTAATGATTTCCTGTTGGATTTTACGTGACCAAGTTAATTATATTGTCACAAGTTTAATGAATTTCCGCAACAATGACCTATTGAATCTGTTGACATACTATTGTAATTACAGTAATTTAGAGCATAATACAATATTAGGTGCATATATTGTTGAATGTACATAATTACGTTAATTTTTTGTTACTTGAGCCTGGTGCAGTACAAGCTCAAAGTTTATCAATATATTTGTGACTATACATCTACGTATTAAAAGCTATTTTAAATTGTACTTTTCAATAAAGTTGAACGGCGTGATACCCGAATAGTTGTTTTTAAGAAATCACTCAGAGTAGCCAAGCAATTACTGGAGATATCACACGCTGAAAAATCTACCTTATCTGATTATTAGGCATATATGGATACTCACATCTTTGCGGGAGGTTTTCCTACTATAATGTTAATATATTTTTAGTCAGATTCGTGTTTCATGGAATGAATTTAATAGTGGCTTTAATTCCAGTGTATTATTTTTCCCCCATTATCTCAAAAAATTAATAAAATATAAATTTTTCTTCACTTTCCATATTTCAGTTGGTTAAAATTGTTTTAATTACAAATCGTCTGATGATAATATTTCCATTAGCCCAACTACGCAACTTTGCTCACAGCTCAAAATTGATCCCTTACTTCGTCCATAACCAGGCTATAGATACAATAGCAAACAAATTATATCAGAGAGCTGACCCAACATTAATACAAACAGATCAATAAGTGTTTGTAAACAACGTTCACGTGCGGCCTTCATCAACGTTTGCACTTATGAGATGTTTCTGTTTTACTACCCACCCAAGGGCGTGTTTCTAACAAAGCGATTAAGTCACTATTACGTAATAACGTACATAAAACCACAATCTTTCTTCAACGAGTCTACTGGCTGAGACCTCAATTATAGCTTAAAAATAAAACATATATAAACCCCATCAGACTTGCAGAGCTAAGTTAACCGTAAATTTAGAAAGAAGCGCTTGGAATACTTTTCGGTGTCCCCTTAGGCTTTCTATTTCCATATACTGCGTCACCCTAAGTCGACTAAAGATCGTTTGCACTCTCAAGTAGTTAATGGGTTTTCTGCTAGAGGGAAGAGTACTAGTTCTCTCCCCTCCTCGTATTGTATGGATATCACAATATAATGTTCTTCCAATTCTCCGTATCAATATTTATGACATGCTAACTCAAAATATTTTATATTAAAATTAAAAGTCTTATCAGTGGCAGTAATAAACATAAGTTTGATATTTATGCTTTTTTACTGATTTGTAGATCTATCTACTTGTTTATGCATTTTACTTTGTACAGATGGTTCAAATGTATACAACGTATGTGTCATTTTTACTGCACATGTGTTATGCATACACGAGTTTCAAGCACATGTGAGTGTAAGTGTTTTTTCTTTCTTCTAAGTTTATTTTTCTTTTTGTGTAGAAATACAATATTTACCGCTTTGAAGAATTGTTCTTTTAAGCGGGTTCATTAGAATAAAAATAACAGATAGTAGTGGTACTCTTGATAGTTAATAAGAATACTATTCGAGCCTATACTATTGGTCAGATATTCTTCTTGACATTGGGTATAATTTATTAAATTATACATTTTACGAAAGATTTATTTTAAATGTTTGACCGATAAAATGTGATTTATTGTCACAATACTTTTTATGATAGAAACATTGTTCTTATCTGAACACTTACTACCTTCACCTAGGAATCATATAAATGAACAAAAAACAATATTTGTAAAAAAAACAGAATTTTTGTAAAGATTCCGTTTTTTCTAGACTTATTTTTTAAAGTCTTTTCACCTATATAATTCGAGTGTGGTTGTGTTTATTTATTACGCTTTCAATATTTGGCCGGATTTGATCCTACATGCGTTCAAATTTTAAGGCCTATCTACTCCATCATTGGATTATCCAAGACCGAGATGGTTGGCGCTCCTTGGGGGAGGCCTTCGTCGGCCTTCGAAATTTTGCATACACGCAATCAGGGGTACAAAAAGAGACATGGACTATCTTTCATCTAGAACTATCCCAGGTGACTATACTACTTATCCCAGGTGGTAGATTGATTAACAAAATGTAATATATAAATGAAAAATTAATTGGAAAAAATAGTACTTAAAATTTTATCTACCGATTCAATGTTTATTTAGTAGATATAAATAGAGAATAGATGAGATAATATTTATCAAGGACGATAGCTCTGGTATCAAATGTACGTAATATCTACGTATATTTCACGCGGATAGAGTTAGTTGAAACGACAGGAAACAGATGTATACTTATCTCAATACGACATATTATTACCGCCTTCATTCATAAATGTCTTTTCGATTTGTACTGTAGCTGTTGCGGAATTCAGTGGACTTGCTATAAAATAGAATTGACAGCTTTCCTATAACTAATTATTTGGAGTTAAGGACGTTAACCATACACAGAAGACATGTTTGTTATAAATATTGTAATTTTTTGTGATTATTATAGTCACTTTTGGTTGGAGCGTTCAGGTACTAAATCGCTGACTAATGTTACCTTTCATTTTGTTCACGAGAAATTAAATAATACTTTTACTTTTTGTTTCAGGTCAAAAATGTATGTATTTGTAAGCAAATTTTGATAGTCTTGAAGGTTTTTTTTTAGTTGAAAATTGTTTCATTTGATAGAAAATCATTAGTTAGTTAGTTATATTAGTTGGAACCGGTAATTAAAGATTAATTCAATTAAAAACAAATGAGCAATATGTATCGTATCTGTTATGTTTGGGAAAATATAATAGTTTCCTTATATGCCTACTCTTCTAGTTTGCTCATTGATTATTACTTGAAAATAGTCTAATCAAAAAGTGGGCTACTACACTAACCTCAAATAAATTATATTTCCTATGTCGTCGTGGCTGCGTTATTTTAATTTATAATGTCTGAGTAATAATAATTTACATTATCATAACATTAACTTGATTGACACGCAGATGTCACATGACTTAGTTGATAATCCTAGTTGTGAATACTCACAGCGGCGAAGACTAAAGCCCATACAGGTGCAGATCTTAGAATTCCCTTCCATGGCACAGGGTCCTTAGCTGAGTGGACATCTGCAGTGGTAACGGAACTGTTCAAATACGCCAGTTCTTTCTTTGAAATGAAGGGGTGCGAATTTGGTGTGCTGAAGCATGTCAGACTCTGAAAACGGTAAAAAAAGACAAAATTATTTTAGGTATGTACGTGATCATGAATCAAGTTTAACAGTTGGCATATCCTAAATTGTTCATATAATAATAATGGAATAGTTTGTAACACTGCTATAGCTAGGTATTTTGATGAATATAGAATTATAGTGTTATGTCCTGGAAGCCGTCATTGCACCTTCAATTCCTTTACTTCAACGAAAAGACACTCAAAGTGATTGACAGAAATACAGCATGGAAAAACCTTAATTTGAAAATTTTCTTTGGCATTAACTAACATTCCACGAAAGTTTCGAGAGTAAATGGCAAAAAAAAAACGTCATTGTGGTTTACAAACCGGAAGTGATGTGACTACTATTTACCATATTGTTCAAATTTCGAATTATATATATGTATAATAGGTATATGTATTTTAACAAAAAGTAGTAATTATTAATCACTTTACTTCACATTAGTCACTTGCACACTGCTTAATGTTTGCCTCCACTTGTAATATAAATTGTTTCAATGTTTCGCATAATTACTATTATTAATTACATTGTTTCATATAATAAAATCTTATATAAATTTAGATTCTAACATCGTCTATTTTACATACAGTCCTACTAAATCTTTCAAAGATTGGTACAGAGAGTAAATCTTCTTAAAATACAAGTAGTATAAGAACTATGTAATTTAATAAGTTTACTAATTGCAAGCTATAGTTTAAAAAAAAAAGGAATTAAAGCGGCAATAGTTTATAGAATAATCTAATATACTAAGCCCCTCAATCTAAACTAATCACTCCATTTTTATCGCCTCTATTGGCGCAGATACTGGGACAGTTACCTGCTGCCATTAGCTCCAAAGCTGATATAAAAGCATTTATCAATAAAATGGGGTATAAAATTAACGAGCGATTTGTTGCTAATCCTCCCAATTAGTGTTAAAACATTTCGTGCTGATTGGTTTTACTGAGGGCTTAGTAATATTCAAACTGTTTTATTCAGATTCATTTTAAAAGCAAGGTGTTTTGGTTATTCATTACCTTTGGAATTAACGTATGTGTCTGTTATGGTAAGAAACAAAAAAAGTGTTTTTAGTATTATTTAAAAAAAATCTTAAAAGTTTGTGCAAACAAAATTTATATAAAAAAGTTGTACAGGTGTAAGAAGGAATATATAAAACATCCAATTGATTTAAAAAGAGGGTATAATTTAAAACAATCAATTATAGGATTGACACAATAAACCAGTGTAATGACTGGTTTGATCGATGGCCCTTAGTATTGACTCAAAATAGAATACATGTGTCACACAAAACACTTCCCGTATTTAAAGAGCAGACTCGCTTATAAATAAACAACAGTACATAAAAATTATAACGTCTGGCCAAAGACTTATGTCTCTTAATATGGTGTGCTACGTTTTTTAGAACATTTAGGCAATTATTTTGTATGTTAAACAAACGAGTGTCAATATCAGTCATTATACTAATAAATGTTTAAGTTATATTAGCACTTACATATTGCCCTCATTCACACGGCAAAAGTAGTTAATCAAGTCTATGAAACACATAAATAGTTATACAACAGTTATCGGAGTCATGTTATATTTTGATGGTAAAGTTATCATATATTTTGAACTACTAAAAGGGTTAGTAAGTGTAGAACTTAAAACAATTAACTATTTTAATTAACGTATAGGCATATAAACCAACACATCTATCGCAATCGAATATCCACACACAATATCGAATTTTATCTAGATTGTTATTGTTATTTATGAGTCTCCATCAATCGGAACTTGAAACACGCCCAATAAACCAATGGTGTTGTAAACAATAATAATTCTTATCTATTATAAGAGGATGATCCTTAATTGTAACATTTTACTGAAAAGACACAAATGCCTAAGAATTTTAAGATAATTTTAATGTTAAAGTTCGAAAGCTTTATAATCAACTGTTCTGGTGAACTTAATAAATAGTATAATAATGAACAAATTTTTGCAATGAATCGAGGGATATTTGTGGATTCAAGCCCATCCTTTTATAAACCAACATAAAACGGGTGTTGACACAAGCAATTAGATTAGTTGGGTCGATCAACGTAATGGTCGAGTGTATAATCAACATTAACTATCCTGGAAAAAGTACGTAATGGAATATTGCAATTAACTGTAAACTTGAAAAAGATGACTACCATAGCTTTTATAAACTTGTTTTATAAATCATAAGTAATTTTACGAGGACTGTCTTTATTTGACCACTAGCTGTTCCCTGTAGTTTTACCTGCGCTTTTGATCATTGCTTTATTCTAAACGTAGTTGCGAGATATTATATAGAATATAACCTTTCCACGCAAACATTCTAAAGGAAAAAATAACTATTCAAATGTGACTTATACGGTTAGAGTGTAGTGCGTTCAAACAAACTATTAAACATAAAACTTTTGCTTTTATTAATCGAGAATAGATAGGAAACTACGTGATTTTCATAGTAGGGTTTTTTTTATAATACTACTTACCCATAACACAAACCAGAGAATTCCAAAGCCTCCAAAAAAGTAGAAAACATAAGACCAGTCTCTTCCATCTGCAAGTAAAATTCCAGACATGAAGGATCCGAAGATATTGCCGATTTGTGCACCACCGAAGACCAGGGCTCCTTGAAATGATCTTTCGTGTGGTGGAACCCATCGCGCCAACATGATCATAAGAGCTGGCATTGTAGGGCCCTGTTGAAGATTGGGTATTGTCATATAGAAAAGCTTATAGAAAACATAGAGCAAGAAATCACATCAAAATGGACATTATTTTGTTTTCAGAAAGGTTCCTGAAAACAAATGGTAAGAGGTTGGTTGGAAGATGGTTTACTTTAGTATCATATTTAAATAAACATCTACTTTGGCTCTAAATGAATGAGCTCACACTTGATGCGCCCTACCTCCTAGGACCGGGCCCAGTTGCCCGATCATTTAATTTGAATATTTTTCTTCCGGCGACTGGGACCACCGCCATAAATGAATATAAAATCTGTTGTTTAAGGCAAAAATAATACAGTCATACGAATAATGTTCAAAGTAATAATTTAAGGAAATAATTCTTTGATTTAAAAATATAATTTATTTATAAAATATAATTTATTAATAAAAAACAGGTAAAATGGAATTGAGTTAGAGAGGGATAGCATTATACTTAACTGCATGGTTGAATCAGTTTTTTTTTTAATTATAATTTAAACATAGTAATTAAAGGGTGTTACAGCTCGCTTCCCAACTTGTAGTAAATCCTCTTTTTGTAATTTAAAACTCAAAGTATTTTATATTATGTGTGATATATCATAATAGTTAATAATAATTTGAAGTAAAGTTTTAGAATAAGTGTTTTATTTCGTCACTAAACATTAAAAATGAGACATAGCATCGCACTCAAATTTCATAACGTCGAACGTTTTTCCTTTGAAATATTTTTACACGCCAACAATTTTTAATAAGGCTGTCATGTTGACGAGCGTTTCATTTAAATTTCTTAACGTTATGTTATGCTGAGTATTATATTTGTTTGTTAGAGAGGATACCATATATTTTCCTTGATTATACTAAATTCGCCCTTTTTTGTTGTTATTCTTTGGATGGTATTTCATCAATTTAACTGGTTGGTATACAAAATCGCTTCTCATACCTTAATTTTATATACCTATATACTTATTTTAAACCTTTATGATCCTTTATGATTAATATGTAGGTATAAACTACTTTATAATGAGGCACTTTTAGAATAGTTTCTTTATGTCGGGGCACCAGGGACTTCCTTTCTAGGGTATACCTGGTTCCCCGGCTATTAGTACCCGGCGACGGCGTGCGGTTTTAGTCGGTTCGAGTCCGACATGCCACCGACAGGTGGTATCCGAGGGGATTTCCGCACGGAAAAAAAAAAAAAAAAAAAAGGATAGTTTCTTTAAAGAGCTCCTTACTCTCGGGTTTAATTCTGATTTAATACAGTTTAAATGATACTGAAATAACTATCTATCATAATAATAATCCATCTAATTTAAGAGATGCCGTTTGATAGTTCTGACAGCTTGAATGATATGGTACTCTCAAAGAAATCGAATACCGAATACTACAATATCCGATTCATAACATATTAGGATATCATTTTTTTGTACTTACTAATGGGTTAAAGTTTTACATAGATATGTATGTTACTAAACTGTAAACGCCCGTATATTTTATTCATTATTAAATTAATTGTAGGTAAATGTCAAAATTTTAGAAGAGAGAGATCATTTTTCGGGTTTTTCAGTTTCTTCCTTACGCAACCTAGCTAAAAAAAATTGTTTTTTGTTGAGACTTACACACGATAAAATCACCTACAAAGATTGATTTAAAATTACAATAATTTACATACTTTTAATTTTAGCTGGAATTTGAGTATTATTAAATACTGAAAGACGCATGGATTAGAAAAACGATTATTTGTATACAAGTGAATTTGAAGAGGCGCAACACTACGGTAAACGACTTAACTACGTGACTTTGAAACAAAGTTTTAAAAAGCTATTTACAAGCTATTATTGTTTCATTAAAAACATTTAAAGTCTAATTTAGTAATTAAGATCTTGTAAAAAAAATCTTCATAATTCCATGGTTTTACCGAAATGATTATTTATTGACAATATGTGAATTACGCCATACAAAGATTTTTCATTGTGAAAATTATGAAACGTCAAACCTCAGATTAGATGGACTGTAGACTCATGCAAAATATATAACTAAAGAAAAACTATAATTATAGTTGAGATCAAGGATACTCTTTCCAAAAAATGCTTTCATCTCAATCCAGTTCACCCAAGTTACTTTTTTTACATTTATTAGAGAGGAATACTTTTTATAAAAGAGTTTGTGAATGAGTTTGTGGCTGCGTCTTTGAGATTACATGACCTAGATATCCCGGCTTCCTCCGAAAGTTGTGTGATTTTTATTTCCAATGGTACAAAAGGAGATTATATTTTACTTTAAAAATGTTATACTGTAAATACAAAAATTGCAACTTAATTGTTCCTCTACATTAATTTACAAACTAAATTTAATTTGTCGAAAACTTAGTTCCTTACATACATCGTAATCATTTTCTTCAAATAGAATCACAATAAACTTAATATTGTCTTTAATATGATTTTTTTCTTTATTAATACCATGCCTTTAGTACGATACTGGGAGAGACAATTTTAATGTACGTAAAACATTCCATTAGACTATAAAACAACAGAACGTTTTACAAAATGTATTAGTTAACTACAATAGTACAAACGATTTTAAGGACTGTTTCAAAATGGTGTAATATAAATGAACCCCTCTAAAAAAGGTTAAGACTTTAAATTGACGATATCAAGCGAAAGAAGCCATAACTTATGGTTTTAGTAGATAGTTAGAAATAGTAAATCCCTACCAAAATGCCATGTTGGTAGCTTATTGCACAGAGTGTAGCCGTAACCAGCTCTGATAATGTTGATCAGCACTTGAGTCAAGTGGGTGCGTACATCCACGAGTAACGCAATCATTTAATTGCTATATCCGTGTATACCGCTACAGTGTACATTCAGTAACGTTTTCCGATAAATAACTGATATACATAATATGTTAGAATTGAAAGTATATTATTGTTTTGACGTGTTCAAGAGACTGCTTTAAGTATGTTCCAGCATAGCGTACGTGAAATTATGAAATGTTTACAATTAATGGGTGTTAGTAATTGAGATTGACGGGGATTAATTGCTTCGTAGGAAATGAAAGAAATAGTTAATATCTGATATCTATTATCAAGAAGATCTATATATCAATAATATTATTAGTAATTCTAATAAATTTATTGTACTCTCCTAATACATAGATTTTAACAGAAAAAGATCGTACTACTGACCACAACAACTTTACTTTAGAATAACAATGACTCTCATTGTCTGCTATATTCCGAAAGTTTTCAATTCTGTAGGGAAGTGTGTTATTGCCTGGTTAGAATATTCACAGCAATATGAAAATTGCATCGCCGGCGAATAATAAGTTTCCCTCCCTATTAGCTCGAATAAAAACTATAACTGAAGTGTATCTATCTATCTCGTCTGATGTAAAGGCAATTGGTAATAGTTGATAAACTGCACTGGACTGGACTGGATACTGGAAGTGGACCAAGATAACCAAGTTTCTAATTTCAATAAAATAAAATAACGGTTTATAACCAAGACTTAATTGAATAAATAGAGATTATTTTGGTACAATTTTTTTTCTTATAAAAAAAGGTAGTGAACTATTTCTAAATCCAAAAATTCGAGGCATTCTCAATTATGTTTTCATTTTTTATCACACTTTCACATAATAGGCTTGGCCTAAGCCGCGATCGTAATGGATAAAAGCTTTTAAACCTATCCTAGTAGTGAAAATTTACGCATATCGCAAGTCGCTATATCTGGAGGTCGTTCCCTTACTCTTTCTAATAGAAGTATTATACGAGTAGAAATAAAGAGTGAATTTAAGAGACACAAATACTGTTATACTCAAGCTTAAAAATGAAATTCTAACGCAATCTGAAGGTGCATTTTGCGGTTACATTGTGATATTGCCAATTGTATTCCCATATTAAGAGATTATGCGTATTCCAATACCTCTTGATACTGAAATATAATACATAATCTAGGGTAATCAATGTAAACTAGGGCAAATAAAAAATATGAATGCAATTTTAATCATACGTCTGCAGATAAATGGACAAAGTTTGCAATAAAAAAGAAAAAATAACCCATCAATAATACAATAGAATCTTACCTCTCCCATTCCTTGTAAGATACGAAGTACGAATAGCCACGTCGCTCCACCAGCTCTGATCACCACTGGAGTTAAAAATGTGAACACCGCTGTACTCAGTAGCCCAAGACCTAAGGTCCATTTTCCACCAAACTTCTCTGCCAGGTAACCCCCAGGCACTTGGGTAGCCGCATAACCGTAATAAAAGCCGCTCAAAATAAGACCTTGTGTTTTTTCGTCCCAATCGAAGATCCCATACTGAAAATAAAAGTCTATTAACAAAACAGTTCAACAACAACAGCGTTTAATAGGCTTCTACTTAGAAAAAAGGTTTCGGACAACTATACCACGCTGGCCAGACGGGTTGGTATAAACTTATAGAGTTTGTGTTATCTTATTATTAATTCAAACTCGGATCAATACCAGATAGAAAAATATTTAGTAGTGTTGATGTTATTAAGAAACATTTTATATATAAGTAATGATTTTGGAGTGTTTTTCCTATTTTGAAATAAACAGTAATTAATTTACTACAGGTACAATTAGCCAACGAACTGGTTGTAATATATTAGATTTCATTTGGATTCCGATATTCAAATTGGCACTTAAGGAAGTTATGCCATAATGTAGGACTCATTACGTTTTTACGTTTATTGGTCTTAAATATGCTAAAAGGTGCTCGTAGTTGAGAAAAGGTTGATACAACATTCATGATTTACAGAGTCGACTGCTATCAAAAACTGGTTTATTATTACGGCTTACTAAAAGCTTTTATAATTTCTTATTTATACGTGTGCATTTATTTATCTTGTTCATCACCCGTCTGTTTCTCAAACACAAAAATAATAGCATCTAGTCTAGTTTTTTTTCAAGATTATGTGGTAAAATGATTTAATAATAGAATAACGCTCTATGTAACGAATTTTTTTTTAGTAGAGTTTAGTAATAGAATACAACAACAACGGAAAGCGGATAGCCTAATTCATCTTTTTAGCAAAATAATAATTAAGTTTTAGCCAATAACATAACACAAATTACATCGTCCTTAAATCACCCTTAATGAATATTAGTCATCGCATAAGTCAGTCTCTATTGCCTAAAAACATAATGTCTATAATGTGCAATATTAAATATTCAATCCTAATAATGTAAACTGCTAAGTATACATTAACAAATACACAAATATTTTGTACACCGGGTGTGCACGCGGGATGGTGACACCGGGAACGTCATCCTCATTAGTTGCTGTATGCGAAACGGATATTAACACAAAGGCTGGTTCTTTTGATACGCCTTTTGTAAAATTTACCACCGTTATTGCAAGTTAAATTAGAATTTAACAACTGCAGGATGTTTAATAAGACGTACATTTATTATTATGTTTGCGTTAGTAGATATTTTCTAGGTTCTTAAGACGTAGTAAATAATAACATTAGGGTTTACTTTTATTTTTCTACCAACTATGTACGTACAATTAACAGGAGTGTTAGACACGAGAAAGAGAGGGCAAGAGTTTAAGATGAATTTGTTCCTTGTCATAGTAAAGTTAACTTTAAAAAATACACTGCTGTCTTCGTAGTGACTATGCGTCGATCGCGGTTTGACCGCGTAAAGTCCGTGCGATTGCGTGATGAGTAATTTTTCAAAACTTACTTAGTGAATAGAATCAACCGAGGCCAAAGCCGTCTGTCTAATATACCATTATCTCCATAGGGGTAGACAAAGTCATATTAATAGCCACAAATAGTATTTGTTTAAAATATACATATAGTATACTAGCTGATCCGCGCAACTTCGTCTGCGTCTCTCAATAGTAATAAATTTTCTCCGTTTTTTGAAACATTCTTCATTGGTGCTCCGCTCCTATTGGTCTTAGCGTGATGATATATAGCCTATAGCCTTCCTCGATAAATGGGCTATCTAACATTGAAAGATTTTTTCAAATCGGACCAGTAGTTCCTGAGATTAGCGCGTTCAAACAAACAAACAAACAAACAAACAAACAAACTCTTCAGCTTTATAATATTAGTATAGATATAACTAGCTTTTGCACGACTCCGCGCGCGTGTCTCTCGGTTATCGCGGTAAAAGGTAGCCTATGTTACTCGATGATAATGTAGCTTTCCATTTTTCTAAAATTTCTAAAATCGTTTTAGTGGTTTAGGCGTGAAAGCGTATCAAACAAACTCACTTTCACGTTTACAATATAACTATTGATGATAATTCAAAGAAAATGAGAGGCTTGTTGCCGTCATATTATTATCTTATACGGCCAAGATTGCTGTTTTACATATTTATTTGATAGATAAACTGTATTATAGCAAACACAAAATATTGGTCTTTACTTTTGGTAAATTGTTTATACATTATTGCATTCGCATGACACTTTGACCTTAACAAGCTACAAATGATCACGGTTTTATTACTTTTAAAAGCTGATTTAAAGTTAACTACATCGCGTGTCTTTTTATTTTTTAAATATGTTTGACCGATTTCGGATCCTTAATGCAATTCACAAATTCCAATCGAAAAAGTGGTACAATTTTTTTTTCGACTAATACTACAAACAACCTTTTAACTAGCGCCTTTAAAAAATAACGCTATACTGATGCTAGTCTAGAATATTGCTGACCGAGTGATTATATCTGTCAGAACAGAGCTGCCCTTTTCACTCTGGTTAATTTTTCAACATAGGAATGAGCCGTTATTTTCATTATAGAAGTCAAAAAGTAAGTCTACCTAGGATATACCTAGGTAGACTTACTTTTTGACTAGTACTTATCCATCTTAAACATATTCTCAAGTTTAATGTTGCAATCTATTAATAAACATTAGCAATACGATGTTTTAAACATAAGTAGGTAAGAGGACTAGTATGATATATTCATAGGCTCCGGTTTAACTCCCGGTTATAAAATGCGTATAGAATACAAATTTTCTGTTTCTAACGCATTTGTGTTAAAGGAAAGATTTATAATGAGGTTGTCCGTGACATCATCGCATCTGGTTACGTAGGCAACATAAATCATGAAAATAAATTCATTTCGCGAACGTGAATTATCTGCGAACATGAATAAAAGTTTTAAATTTATGGTTTAATAGCATCTGCCTATTATTGCTCTTGTATTAAAAAAAAATTTAGAATAAGAAATATACTATCTGTCACAATTTTATTATAATGTTAGCAAGATTTTTTATTTTTTATATAATGTTAGAAAAAAAAATTCAAGCGACGATATGAAAGCTTAAAAGAGAAGGAGGAACTGCATTGAGCTAAAATAAGACTTGACTTGACTTGACTTAAGATTTTGTTTTATAAACAAAACAAACATTTTCGTACAAAGGATATTATTTGTTGCGCTTCTCCTTAGTATAAAATTACTTTTTTAATTCAAATTGCATACAAGTTTTGTTAATTAGTCATCAAAACCATGTACTATGTGACCTTAAAAGTCATTAAAAACACAAAAAATAGTGATGCTCAAACATTGAAATAAAACACAGACGATATATATACATATACAGATATATATATACAGAGATAAAAGTAATAGTATATGTAATAAAATAAAGTTGAGTAGATGACCGTGATTTGAGGTTAGCCAATAATATAATTTGGGAGAGATATATTATTTTGCGAGAAGACCAGAATCGATCTAAGGGCGTGCAATGGGTGAGGCCTATGTCGAGTACTGGACTATGATAGGCTGAAGATTATATTATTTTGGGCGAACCAATTTTGAGGGACTAGCTCTCAAGAAGTTATATTATAGTGACACATAAAAGATAATTCAATGGTAACCGCTTTTTATTTTTATTCCTTATGCCGCCATGTGTGTGCCTATTGGTAAAAAAAACTTTTGCACCTACCTTTTCGATGTTAAAATAAATATACCCATTAACATACAGATCAGTGAAAGTTTAATTAAAGTTACTATTATTACACTTACAATAAATGTATAATTACAATAAATTAATACATATTATCCGTGTAGTGACGATTGTCCGTGTAGTGACGGATTAAGAATACCGAATGTCAATGTCGTAAGAACCGACTAAGGGCGCAAAACAACGCAGGACACCAGCCCTGCAAAAAGAAGGAAAACTTGACACAAACCCTATACCAACCCGTCTGGCCAGCGATGTATAATAGACCAAAACCTCCTTTCTAAGGAGAGGCCTATGTCTAGCAGTGGACTATTAATTAATTTTTGTAACAATGCATTTATCATCATCATCATCAGATGATGATAAATGCATTGTTACAAAAATTGTTGCAATTTTTTATTAATAAGTAAAAAAACCACACCACAGTACTTTGTTTAAAATTTATATGTTTATCTATTATGATCAGCAATTAATGTTTTCACTAGATTATTAAATTAATTACCACTACTTGTTGCTACAACTACAATCATTTCCACCACTTTTGCTTGGAAGGGATCGCAAATTGAGATTTCACCTCTAGTTGTACAAGATATCAAAATATGTAAGCATATGTACGTTTATATATTATAGTTTTTTTATCTCTACTCTTTACTCATTTTTATAAGATTGTATATAAGAGTACAACTCTTTATTTTTATTAGTAATTGTTATAAGCAGATTGTACGAAGAACGCAGACAATTTCGGTATTCTATAATTAAAAGTAAATGTATATATCATAAATATCCTCTTTATACAATAAAATAAGAAATGCAATAAAAAATGTGAAACATAAAAGAAGTATAACATAAAAATATTGTAATTCTAAAATAATGTAGTAAAATCTCGTACGCCCACGATCGTAAGAAAAATTATACGCTCATAAGAGTTCAGACGGGAACAGAAAGGGTCTATAAAGGGGTCTTATCTCAAGCTTAAGGACGAACTTTGAAGTGCATGAAATTCCGAGTAATCAGTTCAAAATATCAGACTGAGAAAACTAGTTGTAAGATAAGGCTTTGGTTATTCTGTCAGTCTGATTAAACATCTAAATAACTGATTAAAGACGACGCGATATACATATTGATTGAGTAGAATTTAAAAGAGATAATTCTAATTCCAATATACGCCAATATCAACATCAAATGCGATTTAAATTTAAATTATATATAAAATAGTGATAAAATAAGTACAAAAAAATTCATTATGTATGTGATAGTCATCTTGTGGGCGTTGTAAGAGCCGACTAAGGGAACAAACTTCGCAGAACAATAGCACTGCAAAGAGAAGGAAAACTTGACAACAAACCTCATACCAACCCGTCTGACCAGCGTGGTATAGTAGGCCAAAACCTCCTTCTAAGGAGAAGCCTCTGTCAAATTAAGGCTCTTGATGAAATGTATGATACTTGCTGGGGTACACTTGTAATATATTTCTGGTTTTCAGGATGTATAAAAGGAATATAGGGAGTCACAAATATAAATAATTAATTCAATTAAATATAAAAATGAAGCATATAGAACTCGTTATTCGTGCTGTCTCAAATAAATAGCATATTTTCAATTCATTCCTACATTCTGGACGTTGACATTCATCTTAATAATATAAAGGCGAAAGATTGGCTGGGTGTTTGTTATACACCAGTTTGCATAGAGCTATTTAGATTATGGCCTGAAATAGTACAAAGGAGACTTTATCTTGGAAAATTTGATTCTCAAAATAAAAATCAGCGTCAAGAGTCAGTAGATATTAAAAGCTCACAATTAGGTCAACGATTGATAACGATGAATGCGTAACTGTTACTCGGTATCACTCATAGGTATATTAATCTTATTGAAACATGAGTCGAAAACAGCATAAAAAACAAATACAATTTATCACTACAAATACAATTGGTGAGATTAAATATTAGGTGCTGTAAAATATTATGTGTAATATTAAATAAAATTTCATCACAGGTTTGTATTACAATTATAAGTCTAACTCATGCTGTATTATCTAATTTCCAAAACCTTGAATGCCTTCAAAATATCGTATATTTTAAGTAGATCTGTATAGTTTGATAACAGCACCCAAACTATTCTTGTATCTAATTTATAGAATGAAACCCCTTCTACCATCTAACATTTGACTTATCTTCGAAAAAAAACACTCCTAATTTACGTAGTAATAGTCATATTTAAAGAAATTAATTCAAGTATTCTAATTTAAACTTGTTTTCAAGTCTTCTAATTTAAACTTGTTAGTCAATTGACCCTTAAAATAAATAAGAGGGTAAAATATTTAACAGCTGAACCGAACAGCTGCTTCTGCTCGCCTTTCAGATGTTTGTTTGAAATAGTGCTGCATTAAATGTGAGAAAGATATTTAAAAATCGCTGAGTTATTTAACAAAAACGGGCGCATGAAAACAAATCGTATTTGGTATATTTAATGTACATGTATAGAAGGGGTGCATAAAAGTAATTAAAAAAAAAGACAACACCCGCACTAGGAATTTATCATGTGACGCGGGGGACTTTACAGACATATATGCAACGACACAAAAACCACAACAATTTATAGACTACACAAAGTATCGTCCCACGTGGGGATCGACCCCACAACACAGCACAGCAGTAGGAAGCGGCGACATGACCGCTTAGACTACTACACCAAAATTTTTTTAAACAATACCTACTATAAAGTTAAAGAGTAAATAAAAAAGACTATATAAAACTAGAACTGCCTGATATAAAATGATCCACACGGGACAACACTTTGCGTGATCGCCAAATTGTTGTTTTGAGTCTGGGTATTTTTTGTGGCCGTTTCATTAATGTATTTAAAGCCCCCGCGACTCAGGATATATTCGTAGTGCGGGAGTTATCTTTTTAAAAGAATAAAAGAAAGAATTATAATGGTCAATAAAATAAAACATGACAGTAACTACGGGCCCAATTCGACCGCTTGGCGGCTTCTAGCTAAATGTTATAATAATATTCCTAAAAAAAAAACTAATCAAAATAACCAAGTGTCCAAAAAGTGTGTGTTTTTATATCGAGGTATATACAGAACATATTGCAGGAAGTAATAAACAAAGTCAAAGCAGGTGTTTTAAGCTAAGAACAAGCATACGAAATTACTTATAAAGCTTATAGATTTACTTACATAAATATTTATTATGTGGTTTTTTCACAAGGAAAACATATTTCGACTTCTTTAATTATTCCTACAACTGTTTAACTATATAAGAGGCATGCTTCATTGGCCTATCAGAAAATCGCTGTTCAGACATTTTTTCGTTGCTTTTCACTGAGTCAGTGAAAACCCCCTCCCCGGGTGTGAGCTCCGGTCCGGTCCACTTACGAAATAGGTGGCAAAGCTATTGCGTCAACTAGACAATATAGAGATTGGATAAATAATTTGAAGTGTAATGAAAAGAAAAAAATATAGTGAAACTATTAAAAAGACAACGACAGTTGTTGTTTACTTAGAAATACTTTAATTATTGCTTATGTCTCTTTAGAGAAAGCATTTACGTCACATGGGAATTGATTTTTAATTCGAATTCGCAACACTATGACATTTCTGTTCGGTATTTTATCAGAGTACAGGATATTTTGTTGAGGTTTAAATCAATAGTGTAGTGTAGTATAGTTAGATCAAGAACAAACGAACAAATAAATGATTAATTTTTTTCAAGGTATTTTAGTTTTTTAAAAGTGTTTTTATAAACCAAAGTGTCGATTCTAGAACTACGATAATCAGTTCTAGGTTATACTAACAGTTCACTGTTGTCATGTATATTGCCTTATCACCAGAGCGCAATGACTTGTGACGAATTCATTTTATACGCCGATGTGTTCATTCCATATGGATGGTATTGTTGTTTGGAATCATGCAATCTTGCAAATCCGTCGTTTAAAATATTACATTTCTATTAGAATCATTCTAGGTAACATTGTACTAAAACTGCTGTTGTCTATGCGTTAGTTTATTCATGTATAAATAGGTGACGTATTTGCATGTTTGTCCCTCTATGCCATAAAAAAATACAACAAATAAGGCTATTATTCTTGTTAACCCCTTCAACTAAGTTCAATTGTTCGTGTTACGAGTACGTTTACATTGAGAGTATAGTGTTGCAGCTTGATATTTAGTTCAGGGTTTTATTTTATTTTAAATTTTGCGTAGATTGCGTTTAATGAATAGTTCTATATTCAAAAAAAAAGTTCTTCCTAATAACTGATGACTGAGACATATTTTAACAATAACTGAATCCAAAATTCTACAGAATTACAAAATTTACTTTGAATTTATCATTTATATGCTGCCAAAATTATTTAACGATTGTTAATATATCAAACAGAGAATATTCCAAACATTTTTTATATTTATGTTTAACAAACCCTAAAAATTGAATTACACTTTAATAAGATAAATACGTTCGAAAATAGCTAGCAAGATTTGTATAATAACATGATCTAAAATATTATGTCTGTGTACGCTAACGATTTCATCATTACGTAAATCTATAGATTTAAAAACGTTTAATATTCTGTAATTTTGATGTTTTAATTAATTTTGAAACTTAACTAATGAACTTAAAAACTAAATTTATTCGATAAACGCCAAATTTAGCCAACTGAAATCATTGATCCAAAACTATGGTTAATAGCGAATGTTTAATGCTCAAAAAATATACAGCGTCACGATACTCAGAATTATTATACTGTTTTGTTTGTCTAAATAATAGGCCGAGGTTAAGGGGCTCGAGCTTGTTATCCAAGAACACTGGATGTTTCCATTCACTTACCGGTCTGTTAACAATTGTAGTGCTATTGGTAATAACATCATCACTGGGACATGCATCAGGATCTACAAAGTGATCTCCGGCGACTTTAGTCCGGTTAACCATCTGCGTGATTGCAAGGTTGAGACACACTCGCATTGTGTAGGCGTTACACACGCCAAGGAGACCCATCACGCCGAGAATGTAACGCTGGGGTATAATACAACCTGAGAACAACAGAAATTGTTTGTTTATTAAAATGTAACAGAATATCATCAACAATCACCACATCACACACGCTTTCTCACATAATATGAAAACTAAGATCTAATCATTTCCTGTCTGAATGAATGTTGGCAAAAATGTTCTCAATCTCAATCAAACTCACAAATTTCTTATGAAACAATATCGATATGTTCTGAAAATCAGCATTTTGCCAATTAAAAGTTTGTTTATATTCATATTCACTCGTGTTTATAAATCCAGTTTAACACGTTCACACACTGTTCTAATGACATTATTCCGCACACAAATTCTATTCCATGTTGACGAAAAAATTAAACATTTCAGTAATTTAATTTCCAAAATACAATAAGGAGTTTGGCTATTAAACGCAGCTTGAAGCGCTATTAAAAAGTTATAATTCCGGCATAACTCCTTTCTGAAACTGTTCCACTTATCATAACGAAGGGTATTGAAATAAATTACAATATTAAAATGGCACCAGTAGGTTGTGTCTTTAATTTTAATTAATGAGAAATTTGGGAATAAATATCAAGTAAGCTCGATACTAGCTTTCAATTGAGTCTCCGCGCTCATTATTTTCGTTTTATCAGGTAGGACTTATAAGCACATTAAGCCAACAAACAAACTTACTTACCATTAGGATTAAATATTAAATAATATACCTAACACATCTTAAACATGGCCGTCTGATCCTAAACTAGGCAGAGTCTGTGCTATGGTAACCAGACTGCTGATAAACGTACTTATATATTTTTAAAAACATACATATTATTGATAAATTACACCCAGACACAGAACAAATGAAGGTGCTCATCAGAATCACATTTAATTTAAAGAACTAAGATATTATACGAGTATAAATAGTCATAGTTCAGCTCATTGGAATACATAATGAAAACAAACTTACTGGTACTTATATTCCACTATTTGATTAAACTTGATCTGACCTGTTTCACCTTGTGAAATTATCAAAGGTTACCGTTTTTACACTACTTACGTCTAGAACATACTAACAATACTTACAAAAACTGGGAAACATCGTTCGCTTAAAATCAAGGAACTATGGTTTTTCTCTGTAAATGGTAATATTCCTTTCTGTTATAGCAAATAATAATTGTGCATAGATATGACCTAATGGATTAAACGTATTTAATCCGAGTGGTATTATGAAAGGTGCGGCGAGTGGCACTACTTATAGTATACTATTAGTATACTTAAATATATATGTAATGCCAATGCTATGCAAATTGATTTTTGATTGATTTCCATAATTAAAAAAAAAATAAAAAAAAAAACCATATGCAAAAATGTATGCGTGGAGTAGGAGTGTCGTCGTCTTGTTCTTCAAAAAGGGTGACAAGATTATCTTGAAGAACTATCGACCCATATCCCTTCAAGCCACGTCTACAAGCTGTTTTCGAGAGTCATCACGAACCGTATTACGCAAAGACCCGACGAATTCCAACCACCGGAGCAAGCTGGGTTTCAGAGCGGATATGGCACCATAGACCACATCCACACAGTGCGGCAGATTATACAGAAGACCGAAGAATATAATCAGCCCCGGTGTCTAGCATTCGTGGACTATGAGAAAGCCTTTGACTTGATCGAGATCTGGTCTGTTCTGGAGTCCCTGCAGCGTTGCCAAGCAGATTGGCGATACATCCAAGTGATGAAATATCTCTACGAAGCCGCCACCATATCCGTCCAAGTACGGACTCAGGAAACAAGGCCCGTACCATTGCATCGAGGAGTGAGACAAGGTGACGTTATTTCCCCGGAATTGTTCACAAATGCGATGGAGGACATGTTCAAGAGGCTGCACTGGAAAGGGCGTGGCATCAATATCAATGGCAAATACATCTCTCACTTGCGATTTGCAGACGACATCGTCATCATGGCAGAGCCGTTGCAGGACCTACAAGATGCTGAATGACCTAGCTGACTCTTCTGTACGTATCGGCCTACGGATGAACTTGGATAAAATCAACGAACATGTACCTACTACCGGAACCGATTGCGGTACACGGTGCCGTTCTCGAAGTTGTTCAAAATTATGTGTACCTCGGGCAGACATTGCAGTTAGGTAGGAACAACTTCCAGGAAGAGGGGAACAGCAGAAATCAGTTGGGTTGGGCAGCATTTGGGAAGTCGATCCCACAGTGCCTTAAGACGAAAGTCTTCAATGAGTGCGTCCTACCCATCATGACATACGGAGCCGAAACGTGGACACTTACGGTACGGCTGGTCCACAAGCTCAAAGTCGCTGGGCGTTTCCCTAAGGGATCGCATCAGGAATGAGGATAAGCAAGCTGAAGTGGCAGTGGGCTGGCCATATTAGCCGCAGAACTAACAACCGTTGGGGAAAACGAGTTCTTGAGTGGAGGCCGCGTCTCTGCAAACGAAGTGTAGGACGCCCACAGGCCAGGTGGAGTGACGATTTGCGCAAGATGGCTGGCAGGAGCTGGATGCCAGAAGCCCAAAATCGATCTAAGTGGCGTGCAATAATGAGAGGCCTATGGCCAGCAGTGGACTGCGATAGGCTGATGATGATGATGCAAAAAAATATTGAGAAGTCAAAGACTTTAGACAACATCCAACTTTAGATAATGTCGTTGATCTCATCTTTTCAGTAACAAGTGGAAATAAAAAGAACATCAACATCACTTGTACAACGTGTTTTTTTCTTTTTACGAATCTTTGAACCACATATGCTGCACTTTATTTCTAGACAATTTGCAAAACATTTTTTTTGTTTTCGTAAGTTAATGCATTCATAATGCACTGACCTCAGGCGGCGATCAGCTGTATACGCGGTGCGGTACCAACACACGTTGCCGCTTTTACTACACTCGAATCGAACGAAATGTGTTGATTATTGCGTCATCAGGATGAAGGACACGAATTTTTAATTAGTTCATCCAGTAAGTACAGTCTGTGGGCCCTTGGTCACCGCGAATCGCTAAGTGTTATGCTGTTCTGTATCCTTGTAGATGCGCTCACGACAAATTATCGTATTAATAACATTGTTGTTGTTCTTGAAATATTTGTTTAGAAAAGTTTTGTTGTGTTAATAATTGTTTAGTCTTATTGCGTTCGTCATAATACACGGCAATGGTGTGAACAATTAATGTTATCGGGTTTTGAAAATTTGTTTATTTTGAAAAGTGAGAATATTAGTTTGTGTGTGTAGTTCAGTGTGTGTAAAACTGAGTGCATTATCAGTCTTTTAAGTTTATAGGGTTATCGGTATCTATATCCATAATGCCGCGAGTAACTCTTACAGCTGCGAAATATCCTGACATATGTTACATTACCGGGAACTCTATCAAAACGCATTTTTAGCTTTACGGAGAACCGAGGCATGGAATCATCGTGTATGTCCTACAGAGGGCCAAGTACAAGTTTATTTTAATTCTACTCGATCGTCACGGTGACCGCGTTCGGCGCTGTGATTGGCCAGCACCAATCGCAACTGTAAACGCGCTCGCCGTCGAGAGCGAGTCGAAGTGAAATATACTTGCACTCGGACCTCAGACTGCCGAATTTTTGTAAGGGTGGTACAAAGATTACGAGGCAACCAAAGTACGGACTTTTTCAAGGAGTCACACGTACTGCCGGGTCCGAAGCTAGTCGAGCATTTCCGAAATAAACACGTGAATGAAATCGTCTTTCATAAATTGATTTTAAAAAGCAAATGGAGTAAGTGATTAGTATGTATCGGTCGCGGCGGCGGCGTCGCTTTGATGCCGCCGACATTGCGACGCTTTCGTCTACAGTTTCGCGACTTATGTTAACAATGGTGTTCTAATTCGGCAATTATTTCATTGTATTTATTTTGTTCTAAATTTGCATTTCTGTATTTTCGTACTATTTTTTTTTTAAATTTTAAACGACGTATTTTGAATCGTGTTATCTGTTATTTCATTTTTCGTGATTACTTTTAGGACACTCGTTTTTGTGTCTCGATTTTTTTTGTTTGTTTGGTTAAAAGCCCTCATCTCAGGCACTACTAGTCCGATTTAAAAAAAAAAACTTTCAGCGTTCGAAAGCCCATTTGTCTAAGAAGGCTACAGGCTATATGCCAACACGCTACAACCAATAGGAGCGGAGTAACAATGAAAAATGTAGCATAAACGTGGGAAAAAATATTGCTTTTGTAAGCTTTCGTTGCGTGCGCTGCGTAAACGGTTAAAGTTTTCCCTTTAAAAGTTTTTAGGGAATCAAATTTGTTCTAAAATAATTAATTATTTGCGAATCCGTTTTTATAAACATATTGTTGTCTAAAAAGTTAAAAGGTGAATGAATCCATCATTCACCTTTTAACTTTTTATTTAATTAATACTTACAAAACAAATTACTGATTTTTATGTCTCAAGCTAAGGAAGAATAAGACCTGTTGAGTTATTGATTTCCTTGAAACTTCATGTTTTCCATTGGTTCACATGTTTTAAACTATTAAACATGATAATATGAGTTACCGAAGCAGTACCTATTAGACTTTAAATAGTACACATCAAGTCTCTGTACAATCTACGTATCTAAATACTTATTTACCCCAATAAAGTAAAGGCCCATTACCAGTGACGTATGTACATGGAAATCCTATTAAGTGCTCACATCCTCATTTCCCGAGGGTGATATGAGTTGATTGGAGGAAATAGGTTAATCTCGAGCTTGCTGCTGAACGATCGTTTACTAATCAAACTGTCAGTTCCCTGTTTGTTGTCGACAAAGTAAATCAGATGGTACTTTCTTGAAATGGGGAAAGATATAAACTCGTAAAGTTTGTTTATGATAAATGTTTTCATTGCAAACGTAAGAAGCCGTAATCAATGAGCTTTACGTTTAATTTATTAACCCTTAAGTTAGAGAAAAACAAAGAATCCAAAATTATAATTATTTTACTTTCTCTCATAGCGAATAAAAATCTCTTATAAAAATTCATATCACCATCAGGTTGTCTGTAAGAGATCACCGT